TGGTCAGAGAAATGTCAGGGAATCTCATTTTCTAAATTCTGTGGCAACCCTGATTTTAACCATTCATTGCTTTTTCGGGTTAAGAGGAGGCTTATTTGTTTTTTTATCAAAACTATGGCATTTAGTCAAAATGAATCAGTATTTTTTGGTCACTCTCGGTCCTTGAAAGGCAGAAATAAGACTTGGTTCTTATATCGATGGCTAAAGTACAAAACCACATATCTCGGTTTGCGACTTTGCTGACTCCCTGTCATACTTTATTTTTTCTTCAGAAAACTAGTCAAAGTAGTCACTTTAAAACTTCCTCGATTTTTCCTCTCCATTAGCAAAATATTCTGTATGAATTAAAAGCTTAGTTTGCTTCATCTCCTCAGAAAAATAAAGTCGGAGCAGAAATTTTGAAACATCGCAATGGAGTTATATGGTTTTGCTTTTTGGCCATAGATTCATAAGATCAAAGATTTGATATCCAAAAACGTTTTCATGAGGTGCATCCTAAAAATTTTCTCCTCTAAATATTTCCACCTTTTACAAAATATCCAGTCTGTTCACTGCCCTAATTTCTGCCCACTTCTCACTATATTACAGTAAAAATGATAGGAGTGTGTGAATAGAAAATTGATGCTTTAAGTTCGCCATCATCCATGTAAAAGAAAAAAATATGGAATAAACAATAGAAAATTTCCATGACTTGTTCTTGTCCTGAAAAGGTTATGTCAAGTGTCTCCTTATCCCTGTCTCGTTTTCAATGCACATGCTATTCAGAACAGTGAATAATGTCAGAATTTTTGTGAAGATATTCCCTTCTGTGGAGAGCTGATTTGGCAATGAAGAAGCCCCAAAATTATTTCTATTTGTTAACGCCTTACTGATTTTTATCTTCAAAATATTCTACTATGTCCCAAAGTATGCATCAGATTTTAACCGTCAAAATTTTCCTGTTGTCCGGCAGGTTAGTGGAGAACCAGTACCAACCACAAGATGGACCAAGAACACGAAAGAAATCCGGTCTGCTGACAGAGTCAAAGTCACTCATGTGGACTACAACACCAAGCTTCTTGTCAGAATGGCAGCTAGGATGGACTCCGGCACCTACAACATTGTAGCGGAGAACATCAATGGAACTGATACCGCCTTCGTGGAAGTAATCGTCATAGGTAAGCTTATTTTTCCCTTTGCAAATTAACTGCAAAATGGTCAATACCCCGTCAAGAACCAACAGAAAATTTCCATGACTCGTACTGCCGTGCAAAGCAAAAACGCCGTAAACGCCATTTTACATTCTTTGGAAATAATGTATCATAGCAGAAAAACTTGTGAATCTTGGGACAGTGTTTTTCCAGAATTCTTTCGCAAATACTATCAAGAACTTAACCTAAAAATTTGAGGTTCTTGGGTCAAACAGTTTCTATTTCATAAGTGTTAAGTTCCTAAAAACGAGGGAAAATCTTGATGGATTTATAGCGTTCTTGCTTAGCACGGCAGTGTTCTTGTCCTGAAAAGGTTGTGTCAAGTGTCTCCTGATCCCTGTCTCCGTTTCAATGCACATGACATTCAGAACAGTGAACAATGTCAACAGTGGTCAACCTTGACTTATCGTGTACTCAATAGAATCAGTCACTGCAGTTAAATCTTCTCATCATTAAAAGAAGAACATCTGTAAATAAGACTCAAATGGATGTCAGCAGATTTGTTGCCTGGTTCTCTCGTCCTCTGTTAATTTTATTTTATTTTTATATTTTGTGTATTTTCAAAATGGCAGCTTCCTCAGGTGTTAATCTTGGTACACAATGTAAAAAATCTTGACGGTTTGAAGGATTAGTATAGTATACAGGCTGTCTAGCGCGTATGCTACATTAGCTGTTCTTTTTCCCTTCAAGCCTGATGTTGCCCTGTGTCTACCGCCTTTTTGACCTGATTTTTCTTGCTCTTCTAACTTTTTGATTCTCTTTCCAGATAAACCAGGTGCTCCTGAGGGACCTTTGAGTGTCTCTGATGTTCATGCTGAAGGCTGCACTGTGGCATGGAAACCTCCAAAAGACGATGGTGGCCAGCCGATTGAGAATTACGTTGTAGAAAAAATGGACGAAGCAACTGGTAAGAATTGTTTCTTTCGCTACCCCAACTACCTTAGAGTACAATAATTTTTATCCAAAATTCTTACGAATACACTGAAAACAGAATTCATACAATGTTTCTTATCAGGTAATTTTAATTTCTCTCTCTCCTCCCCCTATTTTCTCCCAACCCTCATCCCTGCCCCCTGATGACAGTAACTACCTCTTTCCTCCGGTTTTGATCATTATATTTTCGCTTATTACTGACCTGTTTTCATTTTATTTTGTCAATGAATATCAAGAAAAAAGTTCTTAAAAACAACAGAATTTTCTTTTTTTGAGAAATAAGTCATGCATGTAAGACGATGAAGAACTTTCTGAATTATCGTGAAAAAATTACAGTTTATGCGTCTCAAGTTTCCATCTTAGTTTTGGATTTTGCTGATTTTCTTACAAAGGCAAAGCACCCAAATGATACACGGTTTTTTTTTTCATCAATTCAGGTCGCTGGGTTCCTGCTGGTGAAACCGCTGGCAAGGAGACATCACTAGAAATTGGTGGATTAATCCCTGGACACAAGTACAAGTTCCGTGTCCGCGCCGTGAACAAGCAAGGAAAATCAGAGCCTTTGACTGGCACTTCAAGTGTTGAAGCCAGAAATCCATTCGGTGAGTTTCTTGTCAGAATTATTCTTCCCTTGCGATCATAACGAGAATGAATCCTGTGGTAAATTTCACAGTTCCAAGAGCCAGACTTCATGTAAAACTATATTGACACTCTTTTTTTTGCTCCATACTCTTTATTCTTCCTCCGAAGTTATGGGCATTTTGAAACCGCTTCTTGATGGGTCTTATCAATACAAGGTACACAATACCATAATTGTCATTCCAAAATTGAACTAAAACTGAAAATTAAAATATCATAGTACCTGTAGTGCACATACTAAGATGAAGGCTGATTATCAGACTTTGCCAATGCTTTCATCCTAATTTTTTAGCAATTCAGTGTACTAACGAATGCTTCTCAGTCAGCTCTAGTGAATGTTTTGACAGCTCCATTTCTACTTTGTGTTCTTCTTAATTTGTTTCATTTTTGTTTTTTAGACGAGCCTGGCAAACCAGGAACTCCCGAAATCAAGGACTTTGACACTGACTATGTTGAGTTACTATGGAACAGACCTGAAGAGGATGGTGGCTCACCCATCACTGGTTACATTATTGAAAAACGAGACAAATACAGGTTAGTATGATTAATAACTTGCCTTCCCGCAAATGTAGGTAATTTAGAATCACTGTGTATGTTACCAACAGCAAAAGGCATAAGCCCTTCTTTGAAGCCTCTCTTCTGAGTCAAAAGATAACAGCAATGTTTGCTTGAATAAAAAATAAAATTTTGCAACTTGAAGCTTCTTTGAAGCCTCTCTTCAAAGCATCAAAAGATAACAGCAATGATTGCTTGAATAAAAAATAAAATGTTGCAACTTGAAGCTACAATCTATTCCTACAAGCATGCAGAATCTTTCCTAAAAGTGACCAAAAATTTTACTTTCTCTCCCTGTTTTGTTTTGAAAGTTTTCCATTAAATTTTAAACACCTTAACACTATACACACTAAGGTCATTTTTTCCTTTAAAAAATGTAAAATTAAAATACAGATCGACAGTGAAACTCCTAAACCACCTATTGCGTTTGCGGCGTTCAAAAATCTCAGCTCTGATCATATCTTTTTAAAGGAGAACAAATCAACATCATCCCTAAAGTTGTTTAAAAATTTGCTTTGTGCAGAGAATAAGTAAGAGAGTTTTTAATGATAAAAGTTGAGTACTTCTCTGTCTATAAAATAAAGTATGACAGGAAGTCTGAGTTCAAATCAAGGAGTCGCAAATCGAGTTACGAGGTTTGGGAGTGTTACTGTTGTGATATATTTTAAGGAAACATCCATACCAACATCAGAATATCAGCTAAAATTTGAATCATCAGCCTCCAAATTACTGCGAATATAGTTTTTGTAAATTTTGCATTACCAATAGAGTAATTTAATAAACATTTTATTTGGACTTTCAGCCCAGTTTGGGACAAGTGCGGTGAGGTTACCGGTCCAGTAACTCAAGGCAGAGCAACAGGACTGATCGAAGGACAGCAGTACGAATTCCGCGTCAAAGCAGTGAATAAGGCAGGTCCTGGAGAACCCAGTGATGCTACAAAGCCACATATCGCTCGGCCCAGAAAATGTAAGTCTAAAATCTCCTCTGAGCAAGTTAGGCTTATCATTTACTTCATCTTAAAGCCTTGAATCCATTGAACTTTAGTTCAGCTTGGTGCACTGCAATGGGCAGAGCTACGAAAAGTTGCATGTTGTTTGTAGAACACAAAAAACTGTGAAAGCTTGGAAACGATAAAATGTCAAAGCAGGATGCCTCGCCAAATTTTCATTCCATATTAAATCTTTCTAGGGGAGGCAAGTACTTCACTCATTTCCAACACAACTGATTATTTTATTCCTGATCCAACTAGGCTGAGGTCTCAAATCAAACTTCTTCCTTTAAGTTTCTCTTCCGCTTTTTGGTTCAATGTAAATGATCTTTATAATAATAGAAATCCATCAGAATGACCCTGTCAAAAGAAAAATTCATCATCGAAGCACCAAATGTGGTCCTACTAAAATCAGGCTAAATGAAACAAAGAGAATTAAAAAGATTAAACTCGTTACATTTATTCTCTCCTCTTGCTTAACTTTTTAGTCAATATTGATTAAAGTTTTATTTTACTGTAAGGTACAAAATAACACGTATTAAAATTGGGTGAACATTTAGAATGTGATGATTTTTCCAACTTTACTTGGATGAAGATTTTCAAATTTAACTTCGCTAAATCAGGTTACCATGGATCTGATTTTGTTAAACAAAAATGCGAAATGAGCTTTGGATAAGTTAAGTGGAATCCACAGACCAGCAATTGCAGAAACTAGTAGCTCAGCAATGATTTTTGATTCATTCTAAAGTACCAAGTCAATAAGTTACAAAGTCCATATTTCTCATTCCTCTTTTACTTTAAATTTCAAAAAGCACCTGTGGCCGTTTTTTATCTTTATAATTAATGACTATATTTCAAGACTTATCAAAATGTCTTATGTTTCTTTCTTATCAGTGGTTCCAAAGATTGACCGCTCAACCATGATCGACATCAAGGTCAAGGCTGGTCAGAACTTCGAGTATGATGTTGCGGTAAGTGGTGAGCCGCCTCCAAGGAAGGAATGGTATCTCAAGGAAAACATCGTGCTCAATACAGACCGTGTCAAAGTCTCAAATGAAGACTACAGCACGCGACTCAAAGTTATCGACTCCAAGAGAAGTGACTCTGGAACCTATACACTCACAGCCAAAAATCAATACGGATCAGACACCGCTGAAGTCAGGGTTGTTGTTCTCGGTAGGTACTCCAGTTTTATTTTTCTAATTTTCCATACGTAGACAAAGACCCTTGACCATGCTTTTTATCACTTTTTACCAATCAAAAAAAGTTTTCTGAATAATAGTAGATTTTAATTTTTGTTAAAACAACAATATTTTAATCTTGATGAATACAGTACTTTGTTGCTATAATAAATAATCTATGCTTGTTGATTCCTGATTAATTGTTTGCACCATTGAAGACTCACAGGTGTGTCAGAGAAGAGACAAAATAAGTTGAACTTGAGCGGAGAATATTATTTTCATGATTCTTATGTCCGAGATTTTTATTGACCTAACCTAGACTATACTTTAAAATTTGAGCCCAGGAAACCACTGCAAAGTTTATTTTTTGTTTTTGTTTTTCCAAAAGTGACGTCGAATCGAAACTGTAAGAAAGGGAAAAAATCATAAGATCAATATTAACTTCAATCTGTAATTTTAGTGAAATGTCTTCGTTAAACAACTCAACAAGATTTTCTCTCCCTTTGCTCAATACTTTTTCAATGAAAAAATACTAACATTTTCCATCAATTTGCATTTTTACAGATATTCCGGAGCCTCCTCAAGGCCCACTACAACCAACAAACATCACGAAATCATCCTGCACATTGACATGGCGATCTCCCAAGGACGATGGTGGTACCGAAATCACTCATTACGCCATCGAAAAAATGGACACTGAGAATATGCGATGGGTACCTATTGGCATTGCTAGTGCCTGCAGCTTAAGGTGAGAAGTCAATATCTCAAGTCAACTAATAACAACTGAGAAACTCTTCAAGTCAGTCAAACTCAAATACGAAGAGTTTTTCGTATTTCAAGGCCCTTTGAAAGCATGTATTCTATGGTTGACTTAATTCTTTGGTGAGATAATTTTACGATAATTACCCAGAGAATGATTCCAACTGCTTCTCAGTTTTCAAGGAGCCTGTTTCAGCCCATGCAATTTATTGAATCTCCTGTAAATAATTAATCTCTGATCATAAGCTTTTCAATTTTCAGGGTTGATCACCTCATTGAGGGCCATGATTACAACTTCCGTGTCAAGGCTGTCAACAAGATGGGAGAATCCTTACCTCTAGTCGGTGCCAATACGATTACGGCCAAGGACCCCTATGGCAAACCAGACAAACCAGGACAGCCACAGCCAACAAGTCAGTTCTTTGATTTTTGCCCATATTTTTTTTTATGTGTGTAAATATAGTAATTAGGTAGATAAGACCCACTCTTACAGTGCTTCCTGGGGCTCTGTGACACCTAACCGCCACAGCACCTTGTTCTCCCACAGCCCCTCAGGGAGTTAGTCCTCCCTCATTTCATTGGAAACTAGTGTCTCCTCTAAAGGGGTGTATGCAAAATCGACAAAATTTCCCCCCTCATGGATGTTGACCAACTTTCAGTATGTCATTCCTCACTATGGGATACGCCTTTTCCCAAAATTTCAAGGCCTGAAACGAATTTCTCTCCGCGTAGCAGCGTTGCCAAGTTCAAAACCGTTGAGTTGCATATCTTTTGAACGAAAAGAGATATTGAGGTGCGGTTTGCGTTAAAATTCTCAAAAAATTGCGTTCTTTTGAAATATGTACTCAATTTGATCGTTCAGGTAATTTAAGATTGCAATGTTGCCATTTTTCACACTTTCTTAAGGGTCAATTTTTTTTCAACCCTAGTACATCGTCAAATGCCGGATTCTCGATTCGAAAAAAAAACTGTTCATTGTATTATTCGTACTTTTTCATTTCTTTTGATATATTATAGCTCCCAGGGAAACGATTAGTAACGGAGATATGAGCAATCTGAGTTTACGCTCTGCGCGCGCCGACTGGAATCCGGGCGCCGCTCGCTGCTCAGAGTCGTTTGCACACTCCCTCCCTTAAGCTTTACGAGGTTATTCCTACGTATTTTTTTGCGAACTTTTCATTTCTGGCCTTTAAAAAGGCCTCCGATGAATTTTTCGGGGCCTCGCGGTCCATTGTTGCCATTTTTGGCTCGTATTTAGGGTTTTTTTCCAATTTTACTCTCAATTCTACTGTAAAACCTAATGTGAACTGAAAAGTGTGCGAGTTGAGGGAAAGAACGTAAAAAAGAATAAACGTTCATTTATAACTTTTTCCTCCGTTGCCAAATTTTCGAGAAAAATCGTACCAAAGAGCCAAATATTGGAAAAATTGGATAAATCGCCACGCCATTGTTTAAGAAAGTGGGGCGCAACTGTAATATTGCCGTACGTAACAGATCTTACCCATCTATACCACATATAAAAAAGCATAGTTGTATCTGGATTCCGAAGATGTGAAAATTGTCCATGATGTCACCTTTTGCAGCCTTTTCTTATGTGTAAGACGGATCTTTTGAATGTTTTTCGACCTTTAGTCATCCTCCGTAGGAATGTATCGTTTGTATTTTTGCTTTGCTTTTCTTTTTGGCAGTATAAATTGCTTGTAATGAATTTTAAGGGGCCTTACGATCCATTGTTGCCATTTCTGCCAATTTTAAGAGTTTTTTTTCAATTTTAGACGCGTCAGACTTAATCCAAAACCGTGTACAACGTGCACTCACATTTTATGAAAGAACGTAAGAAAGTACATCATTCCAACGTTCTTTGTAACTTTTCCTTACGTTGCCAAATTTCGTTCAAGGTTTTAGCAAATGAATAATGACTTTCATGCAGAATTTTGGGACACTCTGATCTTGGGTAAGCGGCCTGTAGCTTTAAGTCATGATTATAATTAGAATATAAAGTCAAGGTCATAATTCACTTCCAAGAGACTTCTACGTCATAATAAATCCAATTTGTGTCACTTCAGGACGATTTTTCTTGAAAATTTGGCAACGTAAGAACAAGTCATCGAGAACGTTAATCGTGTACTTTTTTACGTTATTTTCAAAAATGAAAAGTGCAGCAAAAATACAAACGATACATTCCTACGGAGGGTGACTAAAGGTTGAAAAACATTCAAAAGATTCATCTTACATATAAGAAAAGGCCGCAAAAGACGTCATCCCGGACAATTTTCACATCTTCGGAATCCAGATGCAACTGTTCTTTTTTAATATGTTGGAACCAAAGAGACTTGTAAAAGCAGCCCGAAACGGAAACGACGATCGAAAACATAGGTAAATGCGGAAACAAGGCTAAAATACAAAATACAGAGGCAGCTGGACGTTTCTGTCATCCCTGCAGTCTCATTTCAATACCAATCCCACCATGTAACGCCGTTTGTTGGTTTTTATTTTAATTTCTTTTTTATTTTTAATTCTATTTTAGCAGTTGATAATGGTGCCGTAAGGTACCAAAACGTCCTACCTTTGTATTTTAATATGTTGTATAGATGGGTAAGATCTGTTACGTACGGCAATATTACAGTTGCGCCCCACTTTCTTAAACAATGGCGTGGCGATTTATCCAATTTTTCCAATATTTGGCTCTTTGGTACGATTTTTCTCGAAAATTTGGCAACGGAGGAAAAAGTTATAAATGAACGTTTATTCTTTTTTACGTTCTTTCCCTCAACTCGCACACTTTTCAGTTCACATTAGGTTTTACAGTAGAATTGAGAGTAAAATTGGAAAAAAACCCTAAATACGAGCCAAAAATGGCAACAATGGACCGCGAGGCCCCGAAAAATTCATCGGAGGCCTTTTTAAAGGCCAGAAATGAAAAGTTCGCAAAAAAATACGTAGGAATAACCTCGTAAAGCTTAAGGGAGGGAGTGTGCAAACGACTCTGAGCAGCGAGCGGCGCCCGGATTCCAGTCGGCGCGCGCAGAGCGTAAACTCAGATTGCTCATATCTCCGTTACTAATCGTTTCCCTGGGAGCTATAATATATCAAAAGAAATGAAAAAGTACGAATAATACAATGAACAGTTTTTTTTTCGAATCGAGAATCCGGCATTTGACGATGTACTAGGGTTGAAAAAAAATTGACCCTTAAGAAAGTGTGAAAAATGGCAACATTGCAATCTTAAATTACCTGAACGATCAAATTGAGTACATATTTCAAAAGAACGCAATTTTTTGAGAATTTTAACGCAAACCGCACCTCAATATCTCTTTTCGTTCAAAAGATATGCAACTCAACGGTTTTGAACTTGGCAACGCTGCTACGCGGAGAGAAATTCGTTTCAGGCCTTGAAATTTTGGGAAAAGGCGTATCCTATAGTGAGGAATGACATACTGAAAGTTGGTCAACATCCATGAGGGGGGAAATTTTGTCGATTTTGCATACACCCCTTTGAATCCAATGAATAGGCAATTCTCTTAGTAGTAAATGGGCAGAAATTTGAGTGAAATCATTATTTACACTAGCAAAGCTGGTGCTAGGAAGGAGGGCAAGTATACTTAACAGACTGTGCTGATGTTAGGACGAAGAATTCAGTAATCAGAAGATTTTAATAATGAAAGAAAAGTTGACAAAATTGAGACCTGAAACAAGTCATCAGCCGAATGCCTGCATTGCCACCTTTTAAAATGAGAGATGAACATTGTACATGAGAATTCCTACCTACAGACAAAATGAAAGGAACAAACGAAAAAGATTAAAATGGGAGGAATTGAAAAATATATGAAAATCTGAATTAATGAATGAAAAAAGCATAAATAGCAAGTATAAATGAAAACCACCAAATAAATATTCAATTTTTCTCTCAAGTCCAAAAAATTCATGTGTATTTCCTGGATGAATTCTTCAAAGCAATAAATTTTTATTTCAGATTGGGGCAAGGACTTTGTCGATCTGGAATGGAAAGAACCGAAGAAAGATGGTGGTTCGCCAATCCAGAACTACATCATCGAAAAGAGGCTGAAATATGGGTAAGTCTTTCCTTCATTGTTTGTTTATTCACTCTTCTACACCAAAACATGTATGCTGTATTTTCATTCATACATATTTATTATGCATTCATTGTTCTTCTAAAAATGATCAAAAGATCTACTGTAGATCATTGATTATTTGGTGTAATGTTCGGGAATTTCGCCCTAAACGAAATTAATGGATTATGAAAACCACCCCAAAAAAGACCGTAATAAAGCAGTTTCAGGCTCTGTTTGTAACCAGAAAGCATAAGCTTGCCGAATTTTCTATTGTATTTACAATGATAGTCATTCAATTGAAGAAAAATCACCTAAAACCACACATATTTTTGAGTTTTGCCCAAAAAACTGGTTTCTCCCGTGTCAAGCTGGAGAATGTCACTTTTCAATGGTGAAAAAGCGGCGTCTAATAATCAAATAATTGAGACGAAGATGATTAATGATCTACTGTATCCTTAAAGTAGTATGAAAAGTAACATTTTATGTCTTCGCTTAGACCATGGGAAAAGGCTGCCATTGTGTCTGGCAAAGATAACAAAGCTACAGTCCCAGGCCTAGACGAAAATCAAGAATATGAATTCCGTGTCATCGCCGTCAACAAAGGTGGTGAGAGTGAGCCTAGTGAACCATCTCAAGGAGTTATCACTAAACCAAGATTTAGTAAGTACCTCTGGATTCTTCAGTTTTCAAAAGTAGATTTTTGTTATTGAAGTCTGTAATGCACTTACTATTACGATGTTGAAGGAGAATTTAAAACATTTGTGCTGTGTTTGTGGATTTACACTTATAAAATTTCAATAAAGAGCAATAACATCTTCCTCAAGGATTAAGTTTTTAAATTTTTGTTGTGTGTAGTTTTCAACTAACAATTTATGAACAAAAAAACATATTATTTTTAAATCCAATTGTGTGTTTTCCCCTCCACAAATCAATGAAAATTTTAAAATGAAAACCCTGAAAGGTTTAAAGTTACCAATGTCTTGCTTTTTTAACCCGCTCAATAATTTTCTAACAGCATGTTCAGTAGATATTGTATGTATCCTGGACTCACCATTGTTTGTCTTGTTGAAGTAATCCTCCTGCTTTACTTTTAGCGAGCGTTTTCTTGTTTGTTGTTCCTGTGGCAGTGGAGATGAATAGTGGAAAGTATCCTGCATACTTTTTATTTACGTAAGTTCAATTTCAAAATTATCAAAGTTGTCACTGGCTGGATAAGAATACGTTCCTTTTCACGCTGAAAATTTTGTTTTGAAACATGTATGGAACGTTTTACTCATTTAAATAAAGAAATTGATTACCATTATAGCTTATGGTGTACGTACATTTTAATTTTATTTTACTGATGTTCGACATGTTTTCGTAAGTTTGATGAGCTCTCTAATACCTTTAATTTCCGAATAATTTCAGCCTTGTTCCGTATGATGCAATTAAGTTTGTCATAGTTTTTTTCTAATTCTCTATCAATTTTTACATATTCCATATAAATTTAGCATCTTGTATAGCTTGTTTTATAGTTATCAAAGTTTATATTAATGAAGAATAGCAAAATGATCGATTGAAGCATTTCAAAATCTCTACCCGTGTTTTACTTTTCCAAGATAATATTATCTGACGACTTTAGAGAATTTTTCAAAACGGCTATATAAATACATGTTAATGATTGAGTGTATTATAATCATTAGATAGTCTTCAAAAGAGCAAAATATGAAGGAAAATCCCCAATTTAGCCAAAAAAGACTTAAAATCCGAGTCGCATCACAATTTTTTATCCCTATTCTCTTAAACTGTTGTTGCACAGAATCTTGAAATAATCCAACCTTGTTTTGTTTTGCAGTGGCACCTGAAATTGACACTGCTGCCCTGCAAGATCTTGTTGTCAAAGCCGGCCAACGCATTAACTTCTCTGTACCAATTAGAGGTTCCCCACGTCCAACGGTCAAATGGATCGTCAACGAAGTGCCTGTCAAGATTGGAGGACACGCCGACATCGAAACACATGGAAATGAAACATCTCTTGAAATTCCATTCTCAGCCCGGTCTGATACTGGACTTTACACACTCAATCTCAGCAATGAGTTTGGCATGATAAGCGCATCTGCTCATGTCACTGTTTTAGGTGAATATATTACTCATATAAGTTTTTAAAATATGCCTAAATCCTTGGGAATTAAATGGAACTGAGTTTGGGTTTTTACTCTTATAAATTGTATTCCTTGAAGGAACAGATACACCTGCGAGCTAGACGCGCGTCTTGAGCGACGAGTAAGCCTTCGGCTGTGTTCGGCAATCTTCGTAGCCAATCAGGTTACAACTCGCCACTCGTAACTCAAAGTAGGATCGGATCCTACTTTTTGGGTCAAGAGTGTGTATCTGGTGTATCGCCAGGTGTATCTGGCCCTCAATTTTTTTTTTTTTTTTTTTTTTTTTTTTTACATGTGATGAGCATGTATTTGTATTTTAGTTCCAGGGAAGGCAACTTAAAGCTGAGCAATCATTATCATTTGAAAAGAGTCCAATAATTTTGTTTCTCATCACTCAAACTCATAAATCTACCTACAAAATCTTGCATTATGATCTATGAACTCAATATCATAATCAACTCTGCGTTACTTCTGTATTCTATTTTGAGTGTAAGGAACTTCGTCTAACTGAAAGAACGATCATTCGTGATGAAATTATTAAAGTTATATGTCAGAGTATTTACCTTAAAAGTATTTCATGCATTGCTTCATCTTCAAAATAAAACCGCGTAAGTGCGCCCTGAAAAAATTCACTGTCGCACATCTTTTACCAGCTTAATAAGCGCTCCATCATTATAAACGGATTTTCAGAAGTAAATAAATATACAAAGATGTGTATCTTAATTTTTGAATTTTCCGGTCATGGCTTTTTAGCACTTGACAGAGGTGCAAGGGAATAGATCAATGGGGAAGCTGGAATCATGAAAATTTTAAAGGAATATTTAAGCAATCAGTAATGCACTAATGGGGAAGGGTGAGGTGGCAAGTCTAATTATCCTTATCGTTTCAAATTTAGACAGAAATAATACTATTTTAGTTTGTGACTTCAGAAGTAGCTAAGTAGCAAAAAACTATCTCTGAGAAGGCAGAAAAATTAATAATGTCTGACCATAACCATTTTTTTTCACTCTTATTCATTCTCTCTAGATCGCCCATCTCCACCGGAGCCACCTCTAGATATCTCTTTGATCACGAAAGACGGCTGTCGTCTCATCTGGAAACTACCAGTAGACGATGGTGGCTCGCCAATCACACACTACATCATCGAAAAGATGGACATCTCCCGTGGAACCTGGTCAGAGGCTGGAATGTCATCCACGCTGGCTCATGATGTCTCACGGTTAATCCACAGGAAAGAATATTTGTTCCGTGTCAAGGCCGTCAACAGCATTGGAGAATCCGACCCGCTGGAAACGCCAAACTCTATTGTGGCAAGAAATGAGTTCGATGAACCTGACGCACCAGAGAGACCTGATATTCTTGATTGGGATGAAGACCATGTTGATTTGCAGTGGGAGAAGCCGAAGTCTGACGGAGGTTCTCCTCTGACAGGTTACATCATCCAGAAGAAAGAGCGAGGAAGCCCGTACTGGAGTAATGCAATGACTGTCCCTGGCAATGAAACAGCTGTAAGTTTCCATTTAAAAACAAAATTTCTACCTTATTAGTTTGGATCCAATATCTTGAAATCAATTCTCAATTAAGCAGTTCGTCGAAAAGTAGAGCTACATTTTTTTCAAAATAAGAGGTCTGTTTCTTGAAAGTAGGGTGAAAACAAGATTAACCTCCCAACAAATTTTGAATTGAATTTACTATGATAGTGATTATTCAGGTATTCAATTTTTTCCCCTCAGTTCCTCTCTGCTTGTCACACCAAGAGTTATATATTAAATTATCATAAAAGGGAAACAAGTCATAATTTTAAATGGAACTCTATCAAGTAAGAGGTATATAGGCCCTTTTTTTCCAAAAAAACTTTAGGGAAATTTAATGAGCTATTTTCTCAGTGCAAGAATTTCCTTTCAATGCAGAGCATTACTGCTCACGACCATACAGATCTAATCAAGTAATGAACCATCTTTTATTCCGCTATGTTTTTGTATTATTTTTCAAATTTCACTTCTCTGATTTTACATCAAATTACAAAAATATGCTCTCCCAATGAAATTAATGGAAAGGATCATATTCCTGACTCTTTGTATCACAAAAAAATTCCTTCAACATGAGCTTTGAAAGACATGAATATGAATGGAATATTTGGCCCGTGCCCAAATATGTTTATACCGTTTTTGTCAGCACTAGGTACAACAATAATCAGCGATCTAGTTTTCCTTGTATTTTAGAAACATTTGACCCACAAATAGTGGCTAATTGACTTAATCATTCACTCGACAAAAAAGAAGGACTTTCTTATATCTGTCACAATAGTGCTCAATAGTGTCAAGTAGGTAGACATCCTAATAATCATTTATACTTCCAAATTAAAGTCTTGGCTTTTCTCATGTGACTGACTTAAATTTTTCTTCTTCTAGGCGACCGTTAAAGGTTTGATCAAAGATCAAGAATATGAATTCCGTGTCATCGCTGAGAACAAGGCTGGACAAAGTCAGCCCAGTGAGCCGTCCGACACCGTCATTTGTAAGAAGAGATACATGGCTCCTAAGATTATCACTCCTCTCAAAGACATCATCACTCGTGCTGGAACCATCTTGAATGTAAACATCGATTTCATTGGAGAACCTGCACCTGAAGTTGTCTGGACAGTTGGACCGAGAGAACTCAAAACCGATGCAAGAACAACTATCACTGCCATTGGTCACCATACAATTGTCAATACCGTTAATGTTAAGCGCACTGACTCTGGAAACTATCATCTTTTAATCAGGAATAGCTCTGGTATGGATGAAGGCTCCTTCAACGTCAACATCTTGGATCGGCCTGGTCCTCCAAGTCAACCATTAGAGTATGAGGAAATCACAGCTTACAGTGTTACTCTATCTTGGAACCCTCCAACCGACAACGGAGGTAGTGAACTGACAGCCTACGTCATCGAAAAGCGTGACTTGGATCACGGTGGTGGCTGGGTCCCAGCGGTGACCTATGTCAACCCATCGAACACACATGCAACTGTACCCAGGCTTCTAGAAGGTACCAAGTACGAGTTCAGAGTTCTAGCAGAGAATTTGCAAGGTCGCTCCGATCCTCTGACCACCTCCAGACCGATCATTGCCAAGAACCAGTATGATGTTCCCGGCAAACCAGGAAGACCAGAGCCTCTCGAAGTAGACAACATTCACATTAAGATCAAGTGGACTCCACCTATCAGTAACGGTGGATCGGTCATCAATGGATACGACGTCGAAAGGAGAGACATCTCCGGCACTGGCCGGTGGGTCAGGCTCACTAAATTCCCGCATAAAGGTGTCGAGTACGACGATGTCCATGTGCTGGATGGTCATTCTTACGAATATCGCGTCAGTGCTGTCAACCAGGCAGGCACTGGAAAAACTAGCGACCCAACCGATATCATAATCGCAAAACTCACCAAAGAACGTCCAAAACTATTCTTAGAGAATTTGGTCGGACGCAAAGTCAAGGTCCGAGCTGGAGAACCAGTCAGTATCACAATTCCAATGGCTGGCCAGCCTGCTCCTGTTGTCGCTTGGACAAAGGGTGGTAAAGGATTGCTAGAAAGCAATAGAATCGTCACTGTCAATAAGAGTAATGAAAGCAAACTCCGCATCGATAACAGTAATCGCAATGATGCTGGTGTGTACACTATCACCGCCTCAAACGAGCACGGTAAGGAGTCTGCTGATATCACTGTCATTGTCCTCAATCGCCCAGAACCTCCGATTGGCCCAATTGAATATCCAGCTGTCAATTCTGACCACATCACACTCAAGTGGAAGCCTCCCGAAGACGATGGTGGCAGTGACATCACTGGCTACATCATCGAGATGTCAGAACAAGGCACTGATGGATGGAAGCCTTGTCCTGGATTCTGCCCCAAACCAACGTTCACGGTCAAAGGCCTGAGCGAAGGAAAGAAATACATGTTCAGAGTCCGTGCTGAGAATTTACTCGGTGTTTCAGATCCGTTAACCGGACCTTGGGTCACTGCAAAGTCGCCGTTTGACCCACCAGAAGCACCTGGTCAGCCAGAGGTTACAGGTTATGGCCCAACATCCGTAAGCCTAGCCTGGACACCACCCATCAGCACTGGTGGTAAACCGGTGACAGGATACATCATCGAAAAGAAAGAGCGTGGTGGAGAATGGGCCAGAATCAGCAACTACCCAACGCCAAGCCTTAGTATGACAGTACACAACCTGCGGGAAGGTGGCAAGTATGAATTCAGAGTTCTGGCAGTGAATGAAGCTGGACCTGGTAAACCATCAAAACCAACTGAACCAGTTACCTGCAAAGATCAAAAGAAGAAACCTGATCCTCCAGAAATCCCCAAACTTGACCGCATCACAAAGACAGGCGTCACTCTCTCATGGCGGCCTCCAAGGCACGACGGTGGTTCAAAGATTAAGGGATACATTGTTCAGTACAAAAAGAAGGCTGACGCTGATTACACCGATGCAAACTCTTTGCTTATTCCTACTCCAATTTACACTATTAATAATCTAAAGGAGGGCGATGAGTATCAGTTCAGAGTTATTGCAGTGAATGATGTCGGCCCATCCGATCCCAGCAAGCCAACAGCTTATGTTGCACTTGAAGAACAACCAAACAGACCAAAGATGGATCTCAGTGGAATCCGAGACATCACAGTGCGTGCTGGAGATGACTTCTCTATTGATGTCCCATATGTTGCATTCCCGCAACCAACCGCTTCATGGTTCATGAATGATATGATTTTAGATGACTCCGACAAGAGGATTCATCAACAGCTGTCACCAACTTTGGCCGTCATGATCGTTAAGAACTGCAAGAGGACAGATGCTGGTCAGTACCACCTTCAGCTCAGGAATGCGTCAGGTTACGACACTGCAACTTGCTACGTTCGAGTCCTTGATGCCCCACACCCGCCTGAAAATCTCCATGCTGATGAGTTCGCAGGAGAGGCCCTTACACTTTACTGGAGTCCTCCCAAAGATAATGGCGGAGCTGAAGTCACTAATTATGTTGTTGAAAAACGTGAGACTGGATCCAGCGCATGGATTAAGGTGGCTAGTTATGTCACAGCACCATTCGTGCGTGTAAAGAACTTATCAGTCGGTCATGTTTATGACTTCAGAGTGATGGCTGAGAACAAGTATGGTATATCTGATCCAGCCACAACCAGAGACCCGATCAAGGCAAGACATCCGTTCGACGTTCCTGGTGCACCAGGTATCCCACGCGGCATTGAGACAACGGAAGACTCGGTCACGTTAACTTGGAATAAACCTCGTCATGATGGAGGTTCGCCAATTACTAGCTATGTTGTTGAAAAGAGACTCATCACAGAAGAAAAGTGGACTAAAGCAACACAAGCCAACATTCCTGACACCAACCTCAAAGTTATGAACTTAATCGAAAACCACGATTATGAATTCAGGGTTGCTGCGAAGAATGCTGCCGGTCAGGGTCCATGGAGTTCATCATCTGATATTATTCGCTGCCGTTCACCCCCAATCATCCCGAAGATCACCAGCGACCTAAGCTTGCGTGATATGACAGTGATTGCTGGTGAGCCTTTCTCAATAACGGTACCGTTCGTTAGTAACCCGATTCCGAAACCATTCTGGTCCATCAACGGTGAGGAAGTCACTCCAGATGACAGAATAAAGTTCGAGACTAGCGCTACTCAAACAGTATTCATCAACAAAAACGCCAGAAGGGCTACAGATTCTGGAAGTTATACAATTCAGTTGTTCAACACAGAAGGATCGGACTCCTCATCCTGCAAGGTTACAGTTGTTGACCGTCCATCACCACCAGTCGGACCAGTCGAAGCAACCGACATTACGCCTGAGTCTTGTACTTTGTCATGGCGTCCACCAACTGATGATGGTGGTGCACCGGTCACAAATTACATCGTGGAGAAATTGGAAACAGCATCAGGTTTGTGGGTAAAGTTGAGTAGCTTCGTGCGGTCAACGCACTATGAAGTCTTTGGTCTAGAGGGCAACAAAAAGTACAACTTCCGCGTCCGGGCTGAGAATCAGTACGGAGTATCGGATGCGACTGAAATGGATAATCCAGTGGTTGCCAAGTTCCCATTCACGGTGCCAGGCGCTCCTGACGCTCCTCAAATCATTGATTGGGACACGAGCAATGCAACTTTGCATTGGGAGAGACCACGCCATGATGGTGGATCAAAGATTCAAGGCTACAAGGTTGAGTATCATGACCTGACAGAAGACTCACCATGGCGCGTAGCTAACGACTACCTTGTAAAAGACCAGACTTACATTGTCCACAGCTTATTCCAAGATCATGATTACGAGTTCAGAGTAAGAGCTAAGAATGCTGCAGGCTTTGGTCAGGCATCGACCCCATCAGCTCGGTTCCGCCTCAAAGGTCGCGCCAAGCCTCCATCACCACCGCTGTGTCCTACTGTTACGAAAGTTGGTAAGACATACGCTGACCTTAAGTGGGACCCACCAGTTTCAGACGGAGGTAGCAGAGTGTCGGGCTACATCATTGAGAAGCGTGAAATGGGCGGTCCATTGTGGATTAAATGCAATGAGTATGCGGTTATTGACTGCCAGTTCTCTGCTATGACTTTGATAGAGAATGCTGACTACGAATTCCGTATTTTTGCAGTCAACTCTGTCGGTAAGAGTGATCCAAGTGTGTGCACAACACCTGTCAAGATTTGCGAAATTGTTGGTGGAGAGAAACCCGAGTTCATTCAGCATTTACACGACCAAGTTGTACCTCTGGGTAAAGTCATTACTCTGCAATGTGAAGCAATTGGCAAGCCGCCACCAAAGGCAAGATGGTTGAAGAATGGAAAGGAAATCAACTTCGGAGCTAGGTACACGTCCGAAGCTGCCGGTGGTGTGTTTAGACTGCACTTCGTTGAAGTCTCTGAAATCGATGAGGGCGACTTCACCTGTGAGGCATACAACTCCCTTGGATTTGTCAGCACCTCATCGCACATCAAGATTGGAAACCCACCAAAGATTGAGCGAATGCCGAATGAAGTGGACGCACCGGAGGGAGATAACACAAAGATCAAGATTCTCTACACCGGTGATCAGCCGATGGAGGTGTCTCTTACCAAGAACGGAAAAGAAGTTGTACCTGGTCCATTAGTCAAATACACTGTTTTCGATGACTATATCATCATTTTCTTAAAAGAAATAACCAAAGCTGATGCTGGAGTCTACACATTAACATTATCAAACCACAGTGGTAGTACATCAGGCTCATTCACAGTTACCATCACAGGCCTGCCCGGTCCTCCAACGCCTCCTCTGGATGTCTCCGAAATCACAAAACACACATGTTTGCTGAACTGGAACCCACCAAAATACGATGGTGGTCTCAGGATAACTCATTACATTGTAGAAAGGAGAGACATTTCCTCATCGCACTGGATTTGCATTTCAACACACTGCAGGGATACCTCATTCCTTGTTCAAGGTTTGACCGAGGGCAATGAATACTTGTTCAGAATTATGGCTGTCAATGATAATGGAATGGGACCGCCACTAGAGGGTGTCAATCCCATCAAAGCAAGATCTCCATTCGACAAACCATCACCTCCTGGAATACCCAAGATAACAGAAGTAGGTGGAGATTTTGTTAACCTCAGCTGGGATCGCCCCGAAAAAGACGGTGGCTCACGTATTCAAGGTTACTGGATTGACAAGCGTGAGGTTGGCAGTGAGGCATGGCAGCGAGTCAATGTTGCTATTTGCATGCCGACTCAAATCAACATCTCCAATCTGATTGAAGGTCGACAATATGAATTCCGCGTCTTTGCTCAAAATGAAGCTGGCCTCAGTTTGCCATCTACTGCCTCAAAATCTGTCAAAGTCAAAGACCCACTGGCCCCAACTGCTCCAGAAATTGTTTTCCCTCTGCGCCCTGCAAATGCAATCCAGAACCACAATGCTCAATTCCAGTGCACCATCACAGGCATTCCAAAACCGACTATCACTTGGTTCAAAGGAGCCCGAGAGATCACGCCTAGCGCCCGGCATCACATCTTTGCTGAAGGCGACACTTACACTCTAATCATTAACGGTGTTTATGGTGCTGACGCTGATGAGTACGTCTGTCGTGCTGTTAACAAGGGCGGAGTGAAATCAACTCGTGCTGAGCTCATCATCATGACTGCTCCCAAATTTAATGTCCCACCACGGTTCCGTGATACAGCCTACTTCGACAAAGGAGAAAGCGTTGTTATCAAGATACCGTTCACTGGTCATCCAAAACCAAAGATCACATGGTACAGGGAGAACGAGCACATCGAGTCAGGCGGTCATTTCACCGTTGAAGTTGCAGAAAGGCATGCCATCCTCACGATCAAGGATGCCAGTAATTACGACAGCGCTCCTTATAGAGTGGTTGCTGAGAATGATCTTGGAATGGATTCTGCCATCATTAAAATTCAAATTAGTGACTGCCCAGACCCACCACAATTCCCAACGGTGGAAGATATCGGTCACGATTCTCTGGCCTTATTATGGACAGCACCACGATGGGATGGAGGCAGTAACATCACCAACTACCTCGTCGAAAAGCGGGAGCACCCGATGTCTAGCTGGATTCGCGTTGGTAACACACGCTTCACCACCATGGCCGTCACAGGTCTTAGCCCTGGACATCAGTATGAGTTTAGGGTATACGCTGAAAATGTGTATGGTAGGAGTCAGCCAAGCACTGTCACTGGCCTCATAACGACGAAGGATTCAGGGAAGAAACAGGTCAGGAAGAAGGAGTATGAAGTGGACGCTAGTGGAAAGCGAATTCGTACCAAAGAACATGAACGACCAAATGACTATGACCAGTTTGTGTTCGACATATATTCTAAGTATGTTCCCCAACCTGTAGATATCAAGTCACATTCTGTGTATGACTATTATGACATACTTGAGGAGATTGGTACAGGTGCATTTGGTGTGGTGCATCGGTGCAGAGAGCGCAAGTCAGGCAACATTTTTGCCGCCAAGTTTATTCCTGTTGCTCATAATATGGAGAAAGAGCTCATTCGTAAAGAGATCGATATTATGAACCAGCTACATCACCCCAAGCTAATCAATTTACACGATGCATTTGAAGACGATGATGAGATGGTACTCATTTTCGAATTCCTATCTGGAGGAGAATTGTTCGAAAGAATCACAGCGGAAGGTTATCAAATGTCGGAAGCAGAGGTGATCAACTATATGAGACAGATCTGTGAAGCAATCAAACACATGCATGAAAAGAACATCATTCATCTAGATATCAAGCCAGAGAACATAATGTGTCAAACAAAACACAGCACAAACGTTAAACTGATTGACTTCGGCCTCGCAACCAAATTAGACCCGAATGAGGTGGTCAAAATATCGACGGGAACAGCTGAATTTGCAGCTCCAGAAATTGTAGAGCGAGACCCTGTCGGCTTCTACACAGATATGTGGGCTGTGGGTGTTTTAGCTTATGTTCTGTTGAGCGGACTTTCGCCGTTCGCTGGTGACAATGATGTGGAAACGCTCAAGAATGTCAAAGCCTGTGATTGGGACTTCGACGAAGAGGCATTTTCGAATGTGTCAGAGGAAGGAAAAGACTTCATTAGAAAGCTGCTTGTCAAGAACAAAGAGAAGCGGATGACTGCACACGAATGTTTGCTACATTCCTGGCTGACAGGTGACCACAGCGACAGGTCGACTGTTATCAAAGCGGATAAATACACAAAACTACGCAACAAGATTAGGCTGAAGTATGACGACTGGGACAAATTCATCCTACCGATCGGCCGGTTATCAGAGTATAGTGCGCTTAGGAAACTCATGGTCGATAAATACCAAATACATGATACATCGTTTGACAGAAGACAAGCGGCACCAAGATTTGTGATCAAACCTACAAGCACGTTATGCTATGAGGGACAGAGTGTTAAGTTCTATTGTAGAGTCATTGCCATTGCGACACCAACGCTAACATGGTTCCACAATAACCAGGAGCTGAAGCAGAGCGTTAAATTCATGAAACGGTATGCGGGTGACGATTACACGTTTATAATCAACAGAGCCAAGATGGAGGACCGGGGAGAGTACATTATCAGAGCAGAAAATCACTATGGATACAGAGAAGAAATCGTGTTCCTAAATGTTCATTGTGAGTATAGTTTTATCATTTTAACATTTAGCATTCTGTCGTTTCATTCAGATGCTTTACATTGGCCACAAGATGTTCAATTAAGAAATATTGTTCCAAGGGTTGAAATTAAAACTAAGTGAGGAGCATTTTCTCTTTTTTTCGATGTACATCATGGTGTTAAAATGTACAAGAAACTGCCTCTGGTATATTACTAATTAAAGAAAAATGGAGAATTTTTTTTTAAAAAAGTCCATACAATTGTTATCTTTTTTTAAAGGAGTTTTCAAATAAAATATGTCCAACTGCTCACAAATTGTGACCGTGTCCACAATCTTCAAACAGGACACATTGTTCATGTGATCCCGAACTTTCTGCAGGCCTGTATATGAATGATAATAAAATTAAAACAAATTGTGCCTAATCATGTGTGCCATTTATAAAAAAAATGAAATCCAAAAATGTTGATGCTTTCATATTAATTGCTCAATGACAAATTATTAAATTACTGCTCTTAACTAGTTTTTATGTATCTGACGTGTCATATTTCTTTATTGCAGCTTACAAAGCACCTCCTGCTCCAGAGTACAAACCTGAAGCACAACCGATCAGGCGAAGGGAGCCCCTAGCGTACACATTCTGGCAAGAAGAACAAGAAAGTCCTCCTAGCTTCACATTCCTCTTGAGGCCCCGTGTAATACAGTATAGACAAACGTGCAAGTTGCTATGTTGTCTTGCTGGTAAACCAACACCCCAGGTATGTCAACTCAGCAGTGAATGAAAGGTTTTTACTATGATCTGCATATTGATTAATCCCATTGCATTTTTTACCTCTTGATCTAGAATTTGTTTAAAATCCTCTATGGAATAATGTAGAGATCTCTTTTTAAATTTTACCGAAGATTTCAGTAATTTCGAATTAACGAGAAGAGGCTTTTTTATTCTTTACCATTTTTTGTGGTCTCTTACTTTGCAAAATGTTGCCTTGAAGTAGCTTCCGATAACTTCCAAAACTTCAAAGAGAGAGACCTCAATTTTTTCCTCAGCAAAGCAGTACTTTGTTTAACTGAATGAAAAGGTCTCATTTGATTCACTATAAAACTTTTCGTCTGCAAGAATTTTTTTTTTTTTTTTTTTTTTTTTTTTTTTTTTAAAGGTCAATTTAGTACTGTTGTTAAAATTTTCCTCTGGTTTGCAGTGTATATAAAAGAAATGCATCAACTAGCACTCTAATAATTTCTGTCATCTTAACAATTAATGAAATAAAGAAGTGGAAATACAAAAAATATCCGCCAGCAGGGTGGAAATGGAAAGATTACAAGATAAAGTGGATGCTTGATACCTGGTTTTGTAAATTACCTATCAAATGATTTTTTTCATGTATCAAATCAGCAAAGCAATCTTTGGTTGCCCATTGGTAGAACTTTTTCTGTCTCTACATTTTTTTTGTTCATGTTCATAAGTCGAATTCCAACATTAAAATTGTCTTTTATTTCCCTGCATGGCTCCATTCTTCCATATAATTTCACTACAAATGAACAATGCCCTTCGGTTTTTGTTTTCCCTCAGGTAACCTGGTACAAAGGAAGCCAGAAACTAAATAGGTACGACTACACAATGACCCACAGTGATGGTGTTATAACTCTAGAAATCATGGATTGCAAGCCTGAGGACTCTGGTAAATACAAGTGTGTAGCAACGAATATTCACGGAACAACGGAGACTAGTTGTGTTGTGATCGTTGAAGGTGAGCACTCCACCATTTTCTGTATTGAATAGGGATATCATGAAAGCAAAATCACTAATTATCATTTCTTACTCTTATTTGTATCTTATCATTTATTAATTTACTTTTTTTTAACACTGTTTTAGCAGTTAAAGATTCTTTGATCCAGACTGTAGCTTTACACATAAATCTAAATTACTGTCAATGTTTTTCTTCTTTTTGCTCTCATGAGTGCGTAGAAGTTGACTTGAAATGATCATATCAGAAAAGAAAAGTTTGCACGGTGTACAGTCAATAAGAAATGGTGATGACAGTAAACAATGCCAGAACTGCAGAAAATCTGGAATCAGCTTTTGTGGTCTTTGACTAGGAGGGTTTTAGCCCCTCAGAACATGCAGCAGATTTATTTATGTTTCTAGCCTTGTTCGCTCATTTTATCACTTTTTATTTACTGTGCCTCTCTAGGTTATTTACCTTTTATCTGTTCTCCATACTTTTACGTGAATGTAATCACATATTACTTGCCTGAAAGGATCTGCAGAAGTTTGAAAGTCCTGATAACTTTAAACAAATTCAAGTCTGCTGAACAAGTTTGCTCTTTCTTTTCTTCCAAGTTCATCTTTTCGATTTAAAAGTATCATCACCAAAAGATTGCTGAGCTCTCAAGCCTCAAACTTATTTGTTATCTGATGTCTCCTGTTTGTCCCATTTTTTTAAATTGAGTGATCTTCTTAACAAGAACAGTATGGTAAAGGTTGGTAAGTTGCAGAGAAAGAAACGCAGATTCTCTGTCTCGGACAAAGTTATGCCTAAAATAATTCTGAAGTAGGTTCTCTGAAACTCGTTCACAAGCCAAAATTTTCAATCTGAATGATCTGAGTGAAAAAAATTCATTTATGGTCACCTTTTGGCCAAAGTATTATGAGCATCATTTGTGCTCTGATAGTGTTTTGCCAAACATCTTAAACCTGTCCAATTTTTCACAGAGAAACTAATAAAGAGAATAACTAAAAAATTTCACTCTGTCTTGTTTTGTTTTTGTCATCAAGATTAATTCTTGAAATTTTGATGGAAGTGTGTGCAAAAGCTTTTTAAAAAAAAATCAAAACAATATTGAGAAGTCTAGCAACATAGTGTCCATGCGTTAATGGCGCTTGTGATTCTTCGACCGGAAGGTGATGATATCGGCCTCTCGTAAAGGACAAATAAACAAATTGATGATTTAATGCAGGAAATGAATATTTTATTCAAGAAGACTTTTATCACTTTCGGCCATCACTCATTTAATTATTTTGGCTCGTAACACATTCAGATTTGCTACTCTATTCAAAGCTTTTTTTACCTAACATCCAATATTTTCTATAATATTACAAATTAATTTCTTATTTTTGTGGAGCCGGCTTTTTACCTTGTCAAACGTACCCATGTTTGTTTCAATGAGTTTCAACGAGTCAAGCTGAGCAAGCTTGAATCGTCATTTAAATCTAACAAGTTGCTTCTTTATTTGGATTGAATGTTCCAAAAACATTGAATTCAAATGCCTTCCACTCTATCCTTTCTCCACTCTCTCTCTTTACTTTCTCTACTTCTGTCTCTATTCCAATGGCTCAGAATCAAGTGAATCTTTCAACTGAACTGATATGGAAACAAAAACAGTGTCCAAATGTATGATGTCAACTATGAAACAGAAATTTTTACAACAATAATATCCTGAACGGCCACTATGATTCTAAACAAATTTTTAGAACAACAGGGGGTAAAAATTCTAGCACGTAACATGTTTCCCAGCAAACAATGCCAGGTATAAAAAGGAAGAAGCTCGACTCGATCTTCAGGTAGTAATACGAGAATCTTAACCTCCATATAACTGGACTCACCCCTCATCCCTGCATTTACCTTTTGGTTTCTGCAGGAAAGTATGCAAATATTGCAAGACATTCAGGGAAGAAGGGGAGATCTGCGCCTGCAAAATAGATAAAGATAGAGGGACTGAAGTTCAACGTCACAAATTGATCGAAAGGACATGGCACCAAAACTGAATGAATTAAGCTCTTGTTTATCTATTTTTTGACATGGTGTTCTTTTTATGACCTTCCCAGCAGGGTGTAAAGCTGTGATAATTTTGTAAAAATTATGGCTATCAATGAATTTTCAAGCAATTTCCAAACAAATTTCCAGTCTTTTACTTTTTGGACTCAACGACATTGCCATGCCTCCCCGTGAAATGATACATGAAAGTGCGGAGAAAAATTTTCTTTCCAGCCTCAATGTTTCTGGAACTGATGAATAGAATATCCAAATTTCAAAGTCCATCGTGTAGGAAACGTTGTAGAGACCATCATGTCAAAAATTGAAAAATTTGCCAAGCCCTTAATTGCTTTGATTTTTGTGCCTTACCCTTTTAAAATTGCATACCTAAATATCAGGGTTGAAAGGTTTCAGGCTGTATCGAAACAATCATCTTTTGGGGGGTAGAAATTTTTGCGTAGGCAATTCATGGCGGGTTCAAGTTTGGATTTTGACTGCTTTATGATCGGGGGAAGGGTAAAAACAAGTAATAAAATGTTGCATGTAATACTTGATCGCCCCATGTATTCTAAGGAGTTCTCAACGCCGAGCAGTGCCGTCCCAGCATTGCTGATCACAGGAAGGCGCAATATTTTTTCACCTTTTAATCAAGTCTGTCTTTCTCCTAGGCGTGAACGAGCCTACAGCTGAACAAGCGGAGTTAGCTTATAATTTGTTACATTCTGAAGGTAATACTAGGGCGTGGGTTTGATACATGTTGGTTTTGCGGTTTGACACGGGGTTGGTGACTGCGCCTTGTGCGGGCTTTTTTGTACTATGTCTGTCATGCGTTGCTGAGTCGGGTCCTAGAACTGACCGATATTTAATGGGAAATGGCAACACTGTGAAAAGTTTCAGACTCAGCCTTGCCATTTTAAGGCAGGGCACCCTGCTCGGGAATGTGGAATGAAAGCTTCAGGGCTGCCAGTGTCAAAAACCTTTTTACCATTTGTTGTGTTGCACGTCATAATGCATTTTATCTCTTGATGAGAATAAAAAATTACAGTCGAGCCACACAAAATATTTTAGTGTCACAAGATAATTTTTTTTCGTCCAAACCAAAAAAGCATGTTTGTCCTCTCTTCTTGTAAATTGACTTTGTCCGGATTCTACCTGGCTTTCAATCTGCCGGTGAATTCTGATGAGAAATCTAGAAACGGTACAATTCAACGGAATCTTTTCACTGGCAGCTAGAATGGCGTGTTTTTGTGTGGCAATCCATGTGCGTTTGCTTGCCAGTTCGGTAATTTCCAGTCATTTCATTCATAGCCAAATGACTTCTTTCTACTTCTCCTCTCATTACATTTCACCTTCACTTTTCATTTTTTTCATGTTTGTGAATCTATGTTGTTTGTGCTCATGTTCATGTTATTTTTCATTTGAAGAAATTGTATCAAGAGTGTCTACCAAAGTGTATTCATAAATGTCTTGTCTAGAGTAACTCAGAGATGTGGTCTATCCTTGAGTTTGATATTTACCCAATTTTTTCTTTTTTATCAATCCAAGAGGGTTAAGATTTTTGCCATGTAAGTAACTGATAAATTCAGAAAAAAGTTCTAAAAGAAAGTCTGTTCAAAATTTTATATCTCTCTAATACAAAAGAAAGGGGAAAATACTCGTATTAAATGCATTTACCTGTTTTAAACTTTTTTCGAAAATTTTGAAAGAATAGTATTATGTTGAAGTACTACTTTCAAAAAACTTTCAAGCTACTATTATCAAAATTATTAATAGCCCTGATCTTTTTGTACACTCAAAATCTTGAAAGAAAAATCCAAAAACAGGTGCTTGTTTGTCCTTCCATTTTTTACTTAATTTCCCAGCAGTCTTGATGCTTGCTTTCCAAAATATGTGTATCCAAGTTCATAAATTTTAATTATCAGTCTCACAATAGAGGCCTCCCAAAATCTGTAAAAAAATTCGTTTCTATGAAGTGAAACTATGATTCATGTTCAAGCATGATCTGTGCTGTTACTCATGTATGTTTTATGTCAAACTTTCTCCTTTTTTTCTTCTCATTTTCGTATTTGTTTCTTGTTCTCTCTGGTTTTATATGCTTTCTATCCTCACAATTTTTCGCAGTCTATTATTTCCTACAAATCTACCCCTCAAGTTTCTCCTAGTTCACTTCAAATAAGTTGATCGACATAGTGAGTAGGGTGCACATCCACAATTTGCCTCTGCAGCCCGATTATTGAAACTATGTCGGCCTGCCACGACAAGACAAAGCCCTATCTTAACCATGCAATATATCGCAGCTCAATGTCTTATTGAGCTGCTTTAAACTTTCAATAATCGGCCCGCTGACTAGACTTAATGCAACTTTTATGGCTTAAGCTCTACCAGGCTTCTTCAAATTAAAAACAATGGTGTATTTCTTTCGGAAAATACACAAAAAGAATACTTTATTCCTCCTGAAATTTCCTTCAAATAAAATACTTGAGTACTTGTGAGAAGCCAATTTTAAGAATTTCTATATATAGTATGTAGTGCTCTAAGATTTAAAAACTTTTTTTACTGAGTACTCCACCGTCCAGGAAACTGTTAAACTTCGTCAACTTTTGGTGTTACAGAATTATTGTAGGTTGATTTCAAAATACAACTCAAAAATCATTGTAGATTATATAATCACTGCATGAGGGAAGACCTTTGTTTCTTTTACCTTGGTGTCATTAAACAAAAATTCTTGTATTTTCATTAGTGGCATCCCTGATGAGATAAAGTCAGAAGAAGTCTGGGAACTCAAAACTGTCGAAAAGGACTGTGCTCACAAAACTAAGAAATTAGGCGCTGGCTAACTCTCGGTATCATTTGATATGATATTCCTTACGACCTCCATAGTACAACAAGCTTTCAAACTTGAACTTTCTCTGTGCCAAGATCGAGAAAAGCAGTGCTGAGTTGTAAATTTCTCAGCCCTTTGCAGGCGTTTTCTGATGGAAATGTGGAACTGTTGCTATATGCGTGTGGATGCTGCACGCGCTGTTATCATTCACAAGAGTTTTACTTTTTTATTACTGTCTTATCTGCCACGCAACAAAGAGATCTCCTCGATCCAATCAAATGATGCAACATTTCTACTAGATATTCCATGTGAAAATGCTGAAAACTTCACTTTTCAGCCCTGCTTTTCTGGAGATTGGCTCATAGAAAGTTTGATTTCAAAAGCTCATCGCCCTCAGGAGGTCCTATGAAATATCACATCTAAGAATATTAAAATTTAGCCTGTGCTGAATTTCTAGGTATTTTGTGCGTCCTTTCAAGTGCCAATGAGAATTTTTTACTCACTTGGTTTAAAAATAAAACAAAAAATTATGTCTTTCACTCAAATTTACTCATAAATTTATTTATCAAAATATCCCAGAATATTCATTTATCTTCAATACGACCGGGCTATTCTCTCATTTGAAGCAGTGTGATAATTGAAAGTAGTTATAGATCAACTTAACATTTTCGATTTCTTATTACAGCGTCAGCACATGCGCTGAAAAAGGCAGAATCCAAAGAAGATGGTGCGCCCAGAATTGTAACTCATTTGGTATCAGAATATGTCAAAGACGGAAGTCCGGTAACTCTTCAATGTAAAATAGTAGGCAAGTATTTTAATGAGTCTTATTTTCTAATTGCTATATGTTGAGGTGAATAGTCAAAGTTCACAAAAAAGGATGCTCAGCACCAAAACAAGGGTTACTCTGGGTAGTGGATCATCTGAAATGTTTAAAGGATATCCTTAATGTTTCAGCAGTAACCATTTGTTTTAAAAGGTTTAGTCACTTTTTTGTGTGGATTTTCAATTGTCGTGATTGACTGTGCGGATTTTTTCTTTCTTTTTTCTCCGTCTGACTCTTTTAATAACAAAAGTAGTTTTATATACCTGTGTTTGAGGGGCAAAGAACTGTAATTGAATTTTCGAAAATTTCGTTTTAAGAAATCAAGGGAAAACCGTGCAACAGCTTCATCGCCTACATCGTATTTTGAAAATTTTAAAAACCCTGTAACTCATGGGTGATGTTCTACATCTTAACAACAATTTTTTTACGCATGGTTCCCTTCAAGTGTGTCGAAAATGACAATAACTCGATTTTTCCGAAACAATTGTTTACATCTCTCTGGATCTCAACCACAAATATGATCGTCAGATTTTAGGCAAAAATGTTCAAAGACCTTTAAGTTGTTGTTCGTAAATTATTTCCTTTGGAGTCATATGGTCATAAAACAGGTTAACTAACAGTGGTCCAATATTCAGTGAAATTGAAATAACTTATTAAAAATCTCCAAAAACAATTATTGAACTAGTTGCGAGCAATTCTTTGAACTTTTTTTTATTTTTTCCGCTAAAAAACTCTTTTTAACATCTGTTCCTGCATCCTACAAAAATTGCGTCGGAAGTTTTCAACTGATTGATTTTGTCTTTCTTCTAAATTTCAACAGGTGCTAAGAAATTTGATGTAGTGTGGTTGCATAATAACAAAGAAATCAAGCCTAGCAAAGATTTTGAATATGCTAATGCTGGCAGTTTCTATAAATTGAACATTGCGGAGGTATTCCCCGATGACACTGGCATTTATACTTGTGAAGCGTTCAACAATGTCGGCGAATCCTTCAGTAGTTGCTCTCTTCTAGTTGTTGGTAAGTTTGGTGCTCAATATTTGAAATTTTTGCGAATTAGCGATGGTTTAGCTAAACAGGTATTGGTGGCATTATCGTTAAGGTTACTCTAAATACAAACCATTATGATTCGATTTTGCAAAATGCATATGCTCCTTTTTTTTCTTCCACCCTTGTGTTTGACCTCAGCAAATCATTTTCATTTTGTAAACCACCATGATTCGATTTTGCAAAACGCATATGATCGACTTTCTCCTTCGAAGCTTGTGTGTTTGACCGGAGCAAGTCTTTCTTATTGTGTCACAATTTGTACCTACCAAAAAAATTAGTAATTTTTATGACTACAAAAGTGTGTTAGATCTAAATGATGTTTTATTTGGTCTCAAAATTTTTGCTACTTTTTTATCTCTTGTTGAGAGGCCTTTCATTTTTTAGGCGGACAATGCATGGAAAAATCTTTAAAGTATTCATTTTTCCAGTCTGATAGGTGATGAAAATCAAAGGATTTTTCAGGAACTGTTTGTTAGTTTTCTATTTTATCTGACTGGCTGGTTTTATTTTTTTCTAACTTTATAATCTTTCATAATTTTATAGAACCCAATCAAAAATTGAAGACACCTATAATAAAAACATTCCCTCGATCTGCAACAGTAGCGAAAGGTGGATCTGTAGATTTTAGTACTGAATTTGAAGGAACATCTTTGAAAGGTAAGACTTGGAACTGCTTTTGTCATTTCTCTGACTTTGTTGCATGCTTAATTTTAAGTGGTATCTAATCGATGCAAGTGATTTACAGTCATATAAAGAGACATATTATCACTGAATATGGAATTGAGTCATGTTGGTACTTCGTTGGATACCGGACAACGCCCTCTGCTTTTAATGCTACCTGTAGGTGTGATCTTGTTTTATTACTAGCGATGGATGAAAAAGGCACAAAACATAGTTTTTATCTGAGAAGTGTTCACACATTTTTTGTCATCCAATTAAATCTCGTTCTTACTGCAGAATTTTAAGATTTTTTCTATTTTTCTAAAGAATACTGTATACTTGTCAATTTTGTTCTGTAACATAATTTCCACAAGTTGGTTAATCATACGATCAGCTGAGATGACGAAATATCTACGATACCCTGACTGTCCACTTGCATGTTATTGATCTCTGATTTTTATTTTACAGTTACTTGGCAGAAAGATGGAAAAGTTGTAGAAGAAGACAAGAAAAAATATCAATTCACCGACAGTGGGTCCAAGTTCCAATTAAAAGTGCTAAATCTAACGAATGATGACAGCGGTCAGTACACGGTCAAAGCCTCTGACGGCTCTAGCGATAATTTCTCTGCTTTCTGTCTCAATGTTGTCGCTCCTGGAGAAGTTTAAATCAGGTATGCAATCTTCTCTAATTGTAATATTCTTATTGACTTCTCCTTTTGTTTTCAAAATAAAATTTGATTGCATATTTTCCAACTTTAGTCACTTTCATAAAATCCAACTTTCAATAAATTGGCTTTTCTGGGAGAGAAGAGGGTACAGAAGTAAATAACAAAAGGTTTTCCCAAAAACACCGATTTGGCCCCCATACTTTTGGCCCAAACTATTCCCAGATATGGCTTAAAGAGTCCCTCATGCTTGGACAAAATTTCAGCTCTCTTACCCTAACTATTTGAGAGGGCTGAAATTTTGCCGAAGTATCATGGACTTATCATGGACTTAATGCAACATCTGAGCAAAGTTTGAGCCTAAGCTAGGGGATGTCCAAATCGGTTTATTTGAAATAACCTCTTTCTTAATCATAAAATCCCTCTGTACCAAAAACAGAAAGACTTGAGCCATAAAATACTTTATGTTAGCCTCAAGAACTGTAAAATCTTTAACAAGCCTATGAATTACTCGACGGTGGATTTGTTATCCTTGTTTAGTTTGGGCTCTTTGTCTTTGAATTTTAAGTGGGATGTATACAAGTGCTCTATTCTTATGCAAAGTGAGAGAAATGTCTATTGAGCATTAGGCAGCTCTCCTTTCAGCAATTCTGCTTACACAAAATGATTTTTTTTCTTCTATTTGTTTTTCTTTTCTGGGAGGCCTTAATATTACTCTCACTGCCCCAAGTAATAGTTTCCTCATTCACTTTTGTTTCCAGGTTTAACCCTAAATCTAACAATTTGCTCAGCTGCAGCATTTGCGGACAATTCGATCCAGTGTACAGTTTAATCCTAATACATCGATTATTTATTTTTAACGTTGCTTTCATTTGTCAAGGCCGTGGTTAGCCTTAATGAAAGCAACTTCGAACGACGGGTCATCAGATGTACCAGAAAATCAACAAATTCTCTATCTGCGTCAGTGAATTTGGTGATTTTTTGTACAATCCGATAACTTCGAGCAAATAGATCTGAACTATGTTTGCCATTAAGGTCCCCCAAATCTGTATAGTTTCGCATAGTTTCAGTTTGTAAATTTTTCTTCTTTTGTAAAGTATTTATTTAAAAAATATCAGGCTTTTCTGTACCCTCCTGAAAAAAAGTATTTGTCTGTATGAAAATTAATTGTCTTCATAAAAATTTAGGAAGAGATTCCTCGTCTTTTCTTTCATATGTTAAATGCCAATTTTTTTAGAAAATTTAAACTGCTGTAGACGTTTTCAAAAATTCTAAGAGCAATAACAAAACTATAAGGCAATCTTTTTGTCATCAAATGTTCTCAGTAATGTGCTGTAGATTTTCTCCTTTTTTTTGTAATCTTTATGCTTATCTAAATGCTCTTGAAGAACACACCCAAAGAAACTGCTTTTATCTAGATGTAAATATTTTTGTAAAGTATCATGATCACACAAGCGTTATTAATCACCCTGTAATTTATCTACAATTAGTGCCTGTTGTTATTGTTTTCTTTGTTAAAATGTAGATTTCTTTCTTTTTTTGCAAAATGTTATTTCAACATAGAATTCAAAACATTCAAAGAGGAATGACTCATTCAATCCTGAAATTAAAGGTCTCTAATTTTTAAAGAATATTTTGTTTGTATTAGTATGCAGCAAAACTAAGAATCAGTTAAATTAAAAGTGTTATGTAACAAATTTAGTCAGAAACAAAATTGGTAACAAATTTTTAACTGATATTTTGTGGAATTTTCAAAGTCTAAACTTTGGTACAGAAATACTAATCCAGCTTTTGAATTATTTCCGTGACCTTACTGTCTTTTAATATTAGTTTTCACGGTCCCCACTTGTTAACATTAATTACCCTGCTTTACAATTTTTTATCGAAAAAGTTATGGGTAACAGAAAATCAAAAACGAAAGAATGAAAAGAAGGAAAATTCAATGAACTGAAAAATCTATGTGAAACATTCTTGCCCTTTTTAATATTTATTGTTATTATTTTATTATTAATAAACATATTTAAAATTAAAGAAAAGGACTAGCTTATTTCATCTCCCTATTCAAATCCTTTCCTTTTTTATGTTTATCTTAGAGGCCATTCATAAAATACAAAACGTTCTAGTGGAGAGATAATCTTCTCATCTTCAATAGCTCTTCAGAAGAGTCTTCCATGACAGCCTATCTTACATACAAAATCAATTGAATCAGTGAGAACGAAAACCCATCAACTCCGTAACTTGAAAATGCTCAATTTTCATAAAGGTCATTGAAGTTAGCGCATCTGTTCCAGCTTATACCTTTAAAGTGTCCTTAAGTGCTTGTCCTTCGGCACCAAAAATATTTTTCCTAGGCTGACTTCTTCACCGCCACCATGCAGTTTTGTGTGTCTCGATTATTTTCATTTTTGAGTTGGTGTTTTCTTTCTCACTGATTCAATTGCCGGCAACGGCAAGTTAAAAAAAAAAATTTCACCGAGCCCTACAGCTTTGCCAAGTTGAAAATGTGATAATTCTCTACGTAAAATTAAAATAGAGCTGTGACGTTGCGGTTTGGTCGTTGCCAATTTTTCGATTTTGGCAATACTTTGGGGTCCCAAAGTCTGTAAATCTTGTCAGCTCCCTTGCAAAATTGGTCTGTGATTCCCTGGAATCTAACACACCATTCTTAAAAATTTCAGCCCCGGGAAAAATGTCCCTTCCACATGGCAGAGTTGCCAAGTTTAAACTTTAAAATCGCACAGCTCACTCAAAAATCGAGTTATCAAGTTGCGGCTTGCGCGAGAATTTTTCAGAAAAATCCTTTTGCCATACTACATTCAATTCGAAGGTGCCTGGTAAAATCAAAGCTGCCGAATTGTCATTTTTCGATAATTTGAATTTCTAGAATTTGGCAAACTTGCAAATAGCAACGTAGGTACCCTATGGTTGGATCGCAAAAAAAATGTACGCAAATGATTTGTAAGTATACTTCAGCATCCAACGATACATTATACCTCACATGGAGGTAATTGGATCGCGAGATACAAGTGTTTTTTTGAGTGCACTTTGTAGTGACTACGCCCGTCTACATCTCGATGAAGTATCCTGGTGAAAGAGGAGTCAAAATAAAAAAAAAAAACACTCAAAATCGCTATTAGCGTTATGCCCCGATCGATCTGAAAACAGATATTCTTAAGACTCGGTGGGAACTATGGTCCACCTTGTATCAATGCTCAATGAGATGGAGGGTAAAAGATTATTTTAGTTTATATTTGTATCCCATGATACAACTCTCTAAAACTTGAGTTCGACATTCCATTCAATAGTTGATAATCATACATAGTTAGTTTTACGATCATGCAAGAGACATTCCTGCCGATGTTAAGTGCATTGATAATAAAGATTCAGAGGGGTAACTGTAAAAAAAAAGAAGTACATAACTCATTGATGGAAAATAATTAACAATGGTTTTATTTTTAAACATAGAAGGTGAAAGCAGAATTGTTATGTTACATTCATCACCTTTTTTTGTACAAACATGGCTTTAGGGTCAGTTCAGGAAGTTTGCGTTTTTGATTTTTTGACAAACTTGCTGCCTTTTCAAAATCTAGGAATACAAAAAGCCTCTTGGTGCTGTCTCGTTTAGTGCACAGGAACCCACATCTTTCAACATTCTCTATGAAGTCTGAGACTTTATCAAATCTACTCTCGACTTCAGCAATTTTCATTATGCCCCTGAAAAAGAAAAGACGAGGACGAAATTATTTAGATTTTGAAAAACAATCATTATTTCCAACGACAGAGAAAAATAGAAATAGAAAATCCAAGTGCCCCAGTTTCTAGTTTATCATGCTTATGTGGACGTAGTTATGCTAAAAGGAAACATGTGCACTAGATTTGCCTGGAACATGGTCCCTATTAGCATAAATACACGTCCATGTTAAAAGTAAGCAGAGGCAAAGACAATGTACAACTTAAATGGCCAGTTATGTTGCTTAGGAAAGCCAGTAAAAGAAAGTAATCAATACCCCAGTTTGCTCGAGGTGACGATTTAATAATTTGACTACCATTGGTTGGGCTCGATTTCCATACAGGGTGTATCAAAAGTCCTTCCCCTTCAGATTTTAAACAGTTAAAATTAGAGGAAAACTAATGTTCCAATTTTGAAGAAAACGTAAAAAAAATCCAATCTCCCATCTCCACTCTTAAAGAAAACTCCCTTCTGTAGGAATCAAAAGTTTTAAGGAGCCTTTTAAGGGGGTCTCAACTTCTTTTTTCAAATTGCAACCCTTTTCAGAAATAAATTGTTCAGGGTGTATCAAAAGTCCTTCCCCGTCAGATTTTAAACAGTTAAAATTAGTGGAAAACTAATGCTCCAATTTTGAAGAAAACGTAAAAAAAATCCAATCTCCCATCTCCACTCTTGAAGAAAACTCCCATCTGTAGGAATCAAATGTTTTGAGGAGCTTTTTGAGAGGGTCTCAACTTCTTTTTTCAAATTGCAACCCTTTTTAGAAATAACTTGTTAGGAAAATTACCCCAAAACGGACATTTTCGGTGGGAATGCAAGTCTCTTGCTTTCACATTTTATAAATGGTAGCCATTCAAAGTTTTGCAAATCCCAACTTCATCAGCAAGGATTGCTAAAAATAAAATTCTTGTTTTATCTTTTCTCCCTAAGAGAGGGCTCTTAGGGAGGGGGGAGGGGTAGGCGCACAATATTTTGTTCACAACCCCTAGCAAATCATTCTCAGTTATCAAAAGACGAAGTCTACAGGAAATCGAAAATGTTTTTTTGAATCAAGCTCTTTTTCATGAAGGCAAGTTAGAGCAAAAACACGACAAAAAGAACTTCTGTATTTTTGAGAACTGTGAGATTCATACTAACATAGCAAAGTATCAGCTTAAAACGCACCCATCTGCAGTCTTTGGAACCAAATTCGTCAATAGAACAGACATATGTACTTCCAAAAAACTTTAAAGTGAAAATTTCTACTGCTCATGATGTTCATTCACAATCGTTGAGCAAAAATCAAGAGGAAATTTTAATAACTTACTTTGGTTTGAGGACCCGATTGGCTTCCTTGATGTAACTAGTCAGATCAGTGCCCATGAGAGACAGACAGAACACTGCAACGTCTACACTTTCCGAGGGCAACGGAACATGCGACATATTGCAAGCAGTAACTTTGCTGTTGACTGCTACCAGGTCAAACGAATGTACTTTGAGGTCAGTGAGGGCATCTGCAAGTTTTGCATCTCCACAACCAAAATCAGCAATCGAACATTTTGGTGGTAGTTCCTTCCTTTGAAGCCTTCAAAATTAGAAAAATAAAGTATGTATTTTATATATTTTTAACAATTACAATTACACATTTTTAACTTGTTAACGTTATTTTTTCATCTTGAGAAATTAGGGAGGAAAGAATTGATGAAAGATCAGTGTTTTTTCAAAGAGCAGTGAATATATAACTGATCTTTCTGAATTTTTAGGTGCACAGGGTTTCCATAAGGGTGATTTCTTGATAGCCAGAATAGTAGTGTCGCCAGTTTCATTTTCAAGTATATTCAAAGCAACGAGACAAATTAATCGAAAAAGAACACATTTGCCACTGGCAATCGTCTTATTTGTGCACTTACATGAGATTCATGCAAAAAATAATAAGACATTTGTATCACTAAGACTTTTAGACCACAAAACGGAATGCTGGTTACATGCAACCAACAGGGAAAAAATGTTATGTCAGTTATGTTATCAACAGGAGATTTTACGATCTCTCACATTTCTTTGAATGAATCAATGCAGGGTCACAACTTAAACAGATTTTCAACAACAGTTGTATTTCTCTTCAATTAAATTGTCGTGTATCTTTAAAAACAGTAAAAACTAAACTAATACTAAAATCCGTTATTGTGAAATCATGCATGATTTTATTTTCTGATTCTCTTAATTTTCCCTGGCTATTTTTGCTTTTTCCTGACTCCAAAATTTTCAAACTTCCTGACTTTATCGCATATTTGAATGAAACTTCTACTTGGATTTTTTTTCTTCCAATAAAATTCACTTCTGCTAATTGCTGCCTGCAAAATTCCCTGACTTTTCCAGGTTGCTATACATTCCCTGACTTGGATGGTTTTCCAAACCACAGGCAACCCTGGTGTTAAAACAAGCTCCTTCCCCTACTTAATTAATTCATTGTAGTTTTTTATTGATTGACAAGTGTCCTGCTAGACAATATAAATAGACATGGTAGTCAGACTTCTGAACAAATACTAGAGTTGTTACTAAGGCAAGTATCTTATTGGTATTTCTTTAAAACTATGCTGTAAAATTGAAATATGTTAAGAGGCTAGAACAACGGAAGAAAATTCTGTTAGAATGCTGGAGAGGTCATTTTTCGTGTACCCACCTCCGCACCAAATGGGTGCACATTTCACCAGATTTTAAATTTATACAAGAAGTACATACTTAAAACAAAATTAAATAAAAAGAGACAGTGGGAGTGTTCGGATAACTTTACCTAACTTTTTTCCGTCAATTTGGAAAATAAGATGGCTAAAAACTTTCTGCAACCCTACCACCTCTATCAATATAGTTTGATTGACAAAAGCAAAATTGTAATTATCAGCTTATAAATTGGATATTCTGCACTTGAACACTTTCCGATAGAGATAATCGCCATTGATATCCTTAAATAAAAAGGGTCTTCGTAAAAATTACGAAATCAGGCATTTCTCTTCAGGTGACTTACATTTTCTTGATTGACTTGACAATTGAGTCTAAAGGATTTATCGGCCATTTGGACACTTGGTGCTGGAAACCTTCATGATATGCTTCGAAATCCTCTGGATTTTTACAGAAGTGGTCCACTGCATCTTCGCCACTTTGCGTGTACAGCTGCTCGTTAATATACCTGATAACAAAGTGTAAAGAATTATGATTCTGAATAATGAGTCGTAAAAAACTGATAAAAAATTCAGTAAGAAATAGGTTTATTTAACCTGTTAGAGTAAAAAAAGGTTTTCTACATGGTATCAAATTCGAGTTGGTGTGTAAATCTCTTTTTCTCTTTTTCACACCAAAAACTGTTTGGCCCTCCTCACCACTCCCCTTCATATTTAGACACATTCTTTTGCAGCTGTTTGCGGTGAACTTGTATTTTCTTAGAGAATGATACTAAAATGAGCAATGACAGTTAATCAAATCAATCACTGGTGCCTAAAATTGGCATAAGGGTGATTTCACGATAATAGGCATAGTCGTGTCGCCGTGGGTTCTGAACGACATAGGGCAAAACGATTGAAAACCAAATTAATTAATCAATAGGAATGATGTCCCTGAACCTATCCATGCTAAAAAATATGATGAATTATTATTATATTTAATAATATGAGACTTTAAAGGCCGAAAATGTCCGGTCGGTTACGCGTCGCCAACCCCGATTTTGAAGCAAAAGAGCAATTTGCGGTAACATATCAGTACTGATCATGAACTCTTTGGCAATATTTGCTGAAAAGAGACTCTAGTGTTCAAGAAAATTGCCAGTTTGAACTGAAATGTTTATTATTGAGCGAGAAAAGTCATAAGAAAGAGATGTCGCCACATTTGGCAACAAATTTTTGCAGTTGTATTAAGTGCAGTGTTTATCTCGCCAGATGGAGTCAGGAGTTTCAAAACTGCCATCAAATTGTTCGCTGAAGTCTTCTTGACAAAACCATTACTGATAAGTCAGTTTTTTTTACAATGAAAACTTAAATTATTATGAAAACCAGTGATTTTTACGTGTGTAGCACTAATTCCTCACTACGCAAAAACCTCAATTTAATAGTATTAAACTTAAACGAAGTCTCCAAAGTCTAGAAAACTTTTAAGGCAGCATTAATTCCACCTCATAACTCAAGAATTGCCAAGTTTCATCTTTTGTATCATCTTTAATCTCACATTTTTGAGTGTCGGTTACGCTGTGTCTGTTACATAACCGACACAATTTGGCAGGGCCGCCATGTTTGCGTGGACCTCCAGCAGTCCCGCGGGAAGCGCTGATACCTGATTCAATGGCTTGTTTATCAATCAATTTACTTTGCACTGAATCAAAATAGAGCGTGCCAAAGCTGGAAAAAGGAAGTTTAATACCTTTAGAATGAGGTAATGAAATCCTGTTAAAATTGGTGCACTTTTATTTCTCAGGTATTTCATATATTAACTATTCCTGTTATCGTGAAATCACCCATAAATACATTTTCCTGCAAAGAGGGGATTTCTGGGGACATCTTTACAAATAAAGTGTAAGTCTTTTTGAAAAAATTTAAATTGTTGATTTAGGAGAGGGTTCTGGTACCCTTGGTACTTCAAAAATGCAGCGGTATGCTTTAATAATTTAATAATGACAGAAACATCTTGATGACACAATGAGAGAAACGCAAATCTCAGCTCTCTTTTTTAAAAATTGATATCAACGATCAATAGTATCTTACCTAAATCTTGCTGCTTTCAATTTCATTATCATTCGTTCAGCTAAAGTTGGAAAAGGCTTCTTAATTTTTTCTTTTTTATCCACAAATTTCGGAGGTTCTTTGTCAATTACATTAATTCCCATCTGCGTACAGAGAGGAATTTCAAGACCACCTCTCTTCTTGTTTTTCTTTTTTCTCTTGGCATTCTTCTGAATTATGTTCGGCTTTGTTACAGGTTTCTTTTTTTTCATTACATGTTTTTTGTTGCTTGTCTTGTTTTTATTGTGTTTCATTTTCTTTGATTTACTCTCGGCACGCATTGCTGAAACAATGGCAAGGCACATATATGAAAATAAGCTAAAGGTATTAATTTCTCAACAATTAAGCCAGGTGAAAAAAGTCTGCAACACTGCAAACTGATTTAAGTAGGTGTTCCCACACTTATAACGTTAACACACAGTCAGATTAGTGGAGTCAAGAAAATATTTCTTACAACTCTACAATTGAAGGTAAAGGAACAGCCTGACACCACACTTTTTACTAAAATTCTTGTTTCCTCTCTTCCTTCTTCTGATTTCGTATAGAAAGCTTTCCTTGGTGTTCTCTTATTGCATTGATTTAGCTATTTGAATCAATATGATTTGAATTGAATGGGCAGAGCCCCATAAAGTTTAAAAAGAAATCTAGTGATACGAGAATGATCGGATTGGCAGTTGACTATAGAGGAAATTAGTGACTTTTCAGTGACAAACCAGTAAGTAATCATAATTATTATAAAGTGGCATAGGTGCAAAGATTAAATGCAATCTGTTTGATGATGATCACCACGTAGTTTTACATTAGTCTGTGCACTAAAATCGCCACATATTCTCTGAGAAGAGCACTTCAATGGTGTGCATCGGCAATCACATAACTCGGTTTGCGACAGCGCAGAGTTCCTGTTATACCTTATTCTTTAAACGGAAAACTAGTCAACAGCAATTCTTTAGAACTGCCATGGTTATTCTTCTCTGTGCGAAGAAGATTCTGCATGAACTTCAAGGAATGATGTCAATTTATTCTCATGTAAAAAAATGCCATAGAGGCGGAGATTGTCAGACACCGCAAACGAGATATGTGATTGCGGACTTACGCCGTCAACTTATGAAGCTCTTGAAAATACGGTGAGCTGTAAGAGGTCGACTGGTGAGCGGCAAGTCATTTTCTACTGGAGGAGTAGTTCTAGAGCTAACTATGCTTCAAGCTATTACAAAGGCACATAAAATGTTGAAAATTTCCTCGTATTTTCGATTCAAAGACATTTATCGTCCACTTAAGCATGGATCATGGCAAAGTTAACTGTTAAATAAAGTACCATTCAAATAGGAAGAAATTCACACTGGGTGCGCTTACTGGCAAATTAATTACGATACGTGATCATTCAATCTATAATTTACCACACAGCACAAATGATAAAGAAATTGTTGTATACAAAGGCGATAAACAAGGTTCAAAAACGCAAATGACCAAAGGACACGACACGTGAAAATTGAATTCGTAAAATTGAGGTTATGTTTACATGTCCAGCTTCTAGTTTCAACTATGGACAGCAGAGTGCGTTGTTGTAGAAAATGCAAAGACCGCCAATTTCAAAATTTGAGAACGGCAGACGAGACGCAAGGGAGCACACAGCACATCTACGGCGAAACTCCCTCCTTGAGTCTAAGGAAAGAAGAAAAATGACGGAAGTTTTCAAGAATTGACGTTGAGTAGTTTTCCATTGTAAAATTTAAGTGACAGGAAGTCTGCAACGTCACAAACCGGGATACGTTGTCTGGTAGTTTCACCGTCGATTTTTAAATACAAAGCCAAATAAAAACTTATTACTTTTCAATTACCTTATTTTGAGTGTGCCGAATGAGGATATGAGAAAACAAGCTCAGGAACAATCTATTCCCTGACACTCTGTATTAAGCAGTCCCTTTGGAACTCATTCAGGTGGTACAACGCTTATTCTTGGCAGGCATTACTTCAGTAGTTTAGGAAATGCATCAATATGATCATTTTTAAAAGATGGTTTTGATGAATGTGGGAGAAATTTATATTGCTCTGAAAAGTTTCCCACAGTTGCTTCTAAGTTCCAACTACATAATCGATCCGTTACTGGACATAAATTCTTTGAGTCAGTCAAAATCAATTAAACTAATATGATTCAAGACATGGTCGATCGTCGCACTCAAGAAAAGAAAACTAATGCAATTATATTTCTTTTTGAAGAAGAATGTAAAAAATGACATTCAAGAGTGCTCGGTTAAGGTTCAACACCTGTTTCAAAGAGAAAATGTTATCTTCAGCAGTTAAAATTGAAATCTTGGTGCTTATGTAAAAAGGAAGTTTCCTTAAAGAGGAATAATACTAAGAGAAAATGAACCAAGTATATTACAATCTTGCTATAAAATGTACAATTCCTCCTCTTTGAAATGATAAGCTTATGCTTGAAATAGTTGCAATTCTTCCTTAAAATAAATTCAAATTTTTCTCAAGCGAACAGATCATGCTTCACGTTCCCTCATATTTCCTTCTTAAAGAAAAGGGAAAAAGAGCAAATTTTCAAACAGAGGATTGTTGCTTTTTGCTTCAAAAAATAAACTATAACGATAACACAAAATTGTTGCGATAGATTTCCTGAACTTTGACAGTAGGTTCTTCATCTCTATGAAGAGGAAAACAAAATAAGATGAACAAACCATTGTAAATAAAAAAAAATGTATTTTGACTCACAGTAAAAATTACATTGAACTGTACAAAACCACAGAAAATACAGAAATTGGAGTTCGGAGGCATTTTACCACTAGAAGAATATTAACTATTAGAATCATTAATCAATAGAAGAAAGAGTGTTTTTTAAAACATGTCACGTTTTCATTCCTTACATTAGTTGCCCATAAAAGCACATATAAACATTCCGACGATGAGATCTTAAAAAAAAGAAAAAAGACAGTAGCTCACAATTTTTTCTTAAAATTCATCACGAGGGAAAAAATAAAACTTTCCAGAATCAAGTAAACTCGGGCTGGCTCGCTTGAAGTTGGCCACCATTGGGAAATCTTAAAGTCTGTTTGATTCATCGAGGAGAGGAGGAAATAATGAAAGAGATATTTATATCTAATTAGTCTATGTACTGAGCGAGCCACCTGAAACCTTCACCATAACCTTGTCGCTTGAGAACGGAGCACATGAATAATTCTAGCGGTCTGCCGGGCAAGTCTGATCGTGGAGTTTTCGTCTGGAAAAAAGAATGATACAAATCAATATGTATTCATTATATTATTATTACATTCTCTATTACATTAGTAATAGAGAAGGAGAGGTAGAATAATATATCGACGGTGTAAGTCGGCAATCACATAACTCGGTTTGCAACGTCGCGGACTTCTTTCCATACTTTATTTTTTAAACGCGATTTTTCCTATCTGTGCGAAGGAAATTCTGCAAAAACTTCAAGGAATAATGTCAGATTGTTCTCCTTTAAAAGAATAACGAAGGGAAGGAGATTTTCAGACACCGTAAACGAGTTATGTGATTGCCAACTTGCACTGTCTATATATAATTAATCATTAGCAATAGAGAAGGAGAGGTAGAATAATAAATATATTAATCATTAGCAATAGAGAAGGAGAGGTTTAATGAAGAGGTTTAGAGAAGGAGGTAATTAATTAAAGCAAAAACGTAGTTGAAAAAAAATTATTTCAAAACAGGAATGAAGATACCTACTGTGTATTTATTCTCCTTTCGAATGTTTGATCATCATTGAGATCTAGGTGAGGATTAAAAGACTAGCGATGGATTACAGGAGATGAAAATAAAGAGATTAAAAAAAAAAATTAGAATAAACTAAGGCAGCGAGTGGAGGTAGGAGGTCATGAAGTTTGAAATTTTTGGAAGATCGCTCAGTGGGCATGTGACGTGAATGTGCTAAACTGAATTCTCAGTTCTCAACCAGTTGGTTTCAAAGTTATTTCTGGACCCATTCGAGTTCTTTATTCTATATCAAACATTTCTTTAAAGTCCGAATAATACACTAGCAGAGTAACTAGAAGGTATCATAAATTTCACTACAAGCCTAGGAGTGCAATAATGGTAAAATAAAAAAAGGGAGTAAGGAGGAGGGGAAAGCTAAGATCAAGGCTTTTACTTTCAACAAGATGAAGTAACTTGTGCTTTGTCAGAGATGAAATTATCCTAAGACCAAAATTTAAGAAGAAAGAAAATGAGTAAGTTTGCAACAATATTTGGCAACATGTGATTGCGCCGTATTTTTTATCATTTATCAATGAGTGTAACAAATTCCTCAAAGGTCAGGCAAAGCTGATAATTTTAAAATAGTGGGATTAGTTTATTCTGCCAGCCCCTTTCGTCAACAAAGCATGATTGAATAACTCAGGGAAACTATTTTCAAGCAAGATCTTAAATAAATAAAAGATATGCTCCGGCAGGCAATATTCTTATTGATAAATTGTTTCACTCATTGTCTTTCGAATTTTTTTGTTGAAAACAATTTCTTCACAAAGAAATAGGTCCAAAAACCCTGATATGATCACTGATTCCTCTCTGCCTGTAGTAATCCTTGGATTAAATAGCTAAAAACTAGCTTAGGAGTTATCGTTTTCATTTTTAGTTATTTACACTATTTTTAAAGGTTAAATTGAATGCCATTTGACTATGAAAGTCTATCTCAATTGAGAGCTTTGAGAAAAGGCCAGCCTGTTTGAGGGATGGATTTGACTTGAATTTAACAATGTTAAACAGCGCTTTGAATTTAATGGTAGACCACCTTCGACACTTTTGGTTTAAAATAGCAGTGGTAACTTTGATAAAATTGGTTTTTAAGTTTCTTTTACACCATCAAAAGGCAAGCAATGTGAATGCATTCCAAAAAAGTGAGGTAAGAAACTCTATGATAAATGGCAAGAATTTCTGGAACTTGCTCACAGTATCCAGCTACTTTCCAATTGTTTCTAAGTGTCACGGAACAAAATTTTACAGCAGCATTCCAATGTTGTATACTAAAAATTGGTAGAACTCAAAAAAATAATTTTCCATACTGTTATGCCAAAGAAAATACACTTTTGTATGTATTCACATCTGACAAATTATCTACGTTATATACTGCAGATAACTTCTTATTCAATAATCACCGTTAGGATGCAGAGAGCGAACATAAAGGAATTCATTACTTTAAACTATGTTCCTAATAAACTCTCTGAAGTACAAGAACTACAATAATAAGAGAAAACTAACTTTGCCCGTTGTTAAGCTATAGAGACCAAACACATTTCTGAGTTCATCTTCTGAGGCAGCGCTTGGGTGGTCAATTTTGTTGCCAAGAATGAGGACAGGACAGTTTGACAGAGATTCGTCGGTCAATAAAGAATCGAGCTCAGCTTTGCTCTCGATGAAGCGAACTCTGTCACAGGCATCAATTAAAAACACTATCGCGTCCACAGCTGGGAAGTAGTCTTTCCACACTCTCCTGGCTAAAAAATTAGACAAATTATTTAAATAAAGAAGGGAAAAAAAGCAAGAAAATCAGCTTAGAAGTCCAGCGTCTTGCCAAATTAGTTCAACGAATTTGGCGAAAAAAGGGAAAAACCTCAGGTGAATTTGCAAAAACTAATGTCATGTTTCAAACTACTCCATAACGATTCCAGAGTCTTCTTACTGAAGTCTATCCATAACTCTTGATTGGAGCTCTCTCACGACTGCATTAGACAAAATTAAAAGTGTCTGAGGACGCTTGTTGTTATGTAACTCGGTTCTTATGTAGAAGAGTACTTTACATTACCTGATTGTCTCTGAGGTTTTGCCGTTTTCTTGACAGTTGAAAATGATCAAAATAAAAGCTTTTAATGTTGACTTTAAAATCCCTGCAGTCTGTTGTTTTTGCAACCTGGCATTGTAAATGCTATCTAACTAAATTTTTGGATTGATTGGATGAGTTTCAGGCCTTCTCAAATTTATACAAAGTTATTGATTTTGGCCAAATTAATTTGTATTCCTGGAGGCAGCAGGCGAAGAAACGCTGTATGTGATCAAGTTAAGCTATTTTTAAAAATTCTTAAGAAATAGAGCATTTTCTGGATAAGTCGCGCAAATTGGAATACTTGTCTTGATCCAACTGACTGCCCTTATTACAGTCAAACTAACCTAGGAGAGAAAAAAAGTAATGATGAGCTTAAACAAAGGTTTACCTTGAGTGTGACCTCCAAGGTCGAAAGTGGTGAACCTCATGTTACCAATCGACAATTCTTCAGAAGCTAAAAACAAGGAAAAAGTTTGTAAAAATTTTTTGGATGATGCATAGAAATTTGGACAGCGTTTAAAATATTTTTGTCTTTTTAAGCTATAAGCTAATGAAAAATGTGCACATTGAAACACAAAATAAAATGATATTTCTTTTAACTTTCAAGGTGATAACAGGCATACAGCATAGTAATGGGGTTGTTGTATGGTGAGGGATTAAACAAACACAGCTATGATATCTTTCATCAATGTGGATTAAAATTTAACATACCTAACGTTTTTTAAAATATAATTTTCAAAATTTCTGTTTTGAGAATAGGTTTCCGAAATGGGTCATTCCATGCCAACTGATCTGATGACCGTTTGGTTCATTACTTACAGGGTGAGTAATGAGTTATTTTTCACTTTTGAAGCTCAATTTCCCTTATCAGACGCATTCAAATTAAAAGAATTCGGGATACAGGCACCTTGTTGGTCTAAATAATGTCATTACCCCTATCTTATTTTCCTTCATAAAAATAAGCATGTCTCGCAGAGTAAATAGTGCTCAATGGCAGGACCACGTTTTTTATCATTCCACTTTTTTTAACCTGCTTTTTTTAACCCTTTTAACCTGCTGACTGCCACGCCGGCCCCATGGGGGCAGCACTAAGTAGTTCTGGCAGCACCCTGTCCGCCCAAGGAAAAAAGCGTCACTGCAGCGTCGCCGATGATTACACTCTACAATGTATTCGGGACCGGCATGGCATCCAGCATCTAATGCACTACAAAACTTTTTTGGATCGGTTTTTTTTTCGTTTTGCCATTGAATTTGAATTGTTGGGGCATTACAGCATCCACTTGGCGCTGTAATGCAGTATACGCAAAAACACGTTGGCGGTAAACATGCTGAGCAGGTAATGTAAGATTTTTCTCTATAAAATCATGAATTATTAAAAAGTTGATTTCAAATATTTATCACTTACTTGGATGTAGAGTTGGCACATGCTGAGCTAACCGATCATCTTTCAACATGTGTAGTAATGTTGTTTTCCCAGCATTGTCTAAGCCAAGGAACAAGAGTTTCCCAGATTTTTTATAAAGACCTGAATATAGGGTAGAAAAAACAGACGGTAAATTGCCAAGAAAAACGGCCAGATGCTCCTTTAATAATAGAGATCAAGCTACGTTGAGCCACGACGAATCCACACAGGTCGGTAATTCATGTGGAGCCTTACTAGACATTGACTGCTGTAAGTTTAAAGGTAATGAAATTCGGGTGAAGAAGCCAATTCTATGTCATACAGAATGTTATTAAGTGAGGGCCAGACAAGGGAATGGATTTTAAAAAGATGAGCAGTGACTGACCTGTGTGAATTAGTCATCCGTTGAACAGAAATCATCTTGAATAAAGATATATTTTTATTTTTAGAGCAGATTCTATTCCGTATTTTCAAATGTACATTTATGGTATAGCAATAAATAAGCCAACTTTTGAAAAAGTTGGATCGTGAATTCTTAGAGTAATTTCAGGGATAAGACATGTTCTCAAGACTCCATCTTGTTCTTATGTTCTTGGAAATTAGAGGCATAAAAGTTAGAAAATATGTAATTTTTAAGTCAGCTGATTCACTCAACTTGAAAAACACACTATGACATATGTAAGAGGGAAAATAAATTCACAACTAAGGAGTGTACTTAAGAACCAATTTAATTTTCAAATGGGTTTACTTAAATATATTTACTTGAAACATGGAGCCTTAAGGGGACGTTCAAGTATTGCGTAACGCATTGGAGGGGAGGGGGGGTTGAGCTACCGTTACAGTGCAAGTACACCACCCCAGCAGGTCGATCATCGATCGTGTAAAACAGCAATGTTGATATATTGTATGGTCATGACAAACTATGTTTTATCTTCTGTATCGACATGGGTTCAATTATTGGGCCGCTGACAGATACGTCTACTTGTCTAACTTGCTTCCGATAAAAAGCATGCAGGAAAATAATTAAAAAATAACAATGATGATGAAAGTACAATTACCTAAGTATCCGAGGACACCAGTGAACCAATCCCACAGAAACATTATTCACCTGTAAACAAGGAAAATATACAATTTAGGTAGGACCAAAATCAAGAGGTGAAGGTATGATCATGTAGCTGACGGTGGAGTCCAAACTAACAGCCAGCGAAACACAATTGCCAACATCATACTATTCTTATGGCAATTCGATAAAACAAATCGATGGATCGCAAGACCCCAGATTTGAGGTCAAAACATCCAAGTTGATGAACATATCTTGCTCATGACTAATTGAGTTATCTTGAAAGTCTAACGATTACACTTAACTACTCGTTAATGAGATTAGCAAGGAGAAAACTTTAGCTCAACCCAAAACATTTTTGTCTCCTTAGCAGACACTTAAACTTAAGAATCCCTTGTAGTCCATTTAGAAGCTTTGTTTACAAGACTTTCACCTAAGTCAGGGGGATTTTAGGATTGATTGCTGCAAAATAAATGTTCCGACAGCTGAATTACTTTCAATAAGGAAACACATCAATAACCCTAATGCATGTCAGTATAAGTGGTGCACTGATACAACAACAAAAGATGACAGGCTGTAAGAAGATCAGGATCAAATAGTTAACCATGGAGATTGAGCTCTTGGTGACCTGATGAAAGTAACGGCAGCAGAGATTTAAGAGTCGCAATGAAATTACTTACATCAGATAAGAATCAAGAGCTCACTCAACCATAGGTTAACGAGGTTCAAGGGACATTTCTGTTTAGATTGAGGAAAACTTAGAAAAATGCTTGATGGATTCTTTGTTTTAATAAAGAGGGCAAACCACAAGAAAAACAGAAGATCCGATGAATTACGAAAGCAATGATACAATTTAAAAGTGAATCTGAGAAATCTGATGGCTATCTTGACCAGACATGACAAGTGATGTCGCATCAGCGGGACGAAGATGCTAATTAGGGCCTGACTCAATCAAAAGGTTATAAAAGAAAGGATTGGTGGACTATGATCATAATTTCTTTGTTCTAGCATTGTAGGCACAAGATATAGACGTAGTAATGAGGTGATTATAAGGAAAAAATGCAAAATGCAAATGGAAGTAAGAAAACTTGCAAGGTTAAATTTGATGCAGACAGTAGAACTGAGGATCATTTCAGGGGCGATATCATTCCCTACAGGGCTGAATTCAAAAGATACTCACTAATATTAAGAAAGAGACTCCTAACAGAGGACAAAATTACAGTAATCAACTCAAAAGATTCTGAAATACAAACAAATGCCTGTCAAAATGCAGGCTTGGAACACAGATGACAACTTGAAGTGACAACTCGAATGAAAAAGAACTGGCAACATCGACAACGATGACGAGACACTCAAAAATAAAGCCGCGAAAGAGAGGTCCGCTTTTTGCAAGGCGTCGATGCAACCTGGCATACAAAGAGAGGCAAAACTTGTATTCTTCCATAAAATATCAAAGACATTGAAGAAGAGGATAAAAAAATTGTAATAAGCGAAAAAAGAATAGGTGGAAGGGTTTACATTACCAGACTTTTCGCGTTTCAGACAACTTTCCGGTGCGCAATCCACTCTATCAACTATGTACTTTCTCACCTCCTTCAAATCTCCTATACTTCCTATACCACTACAACAGTGTTTCACCTTCCGAAATTGAACGAACTTTCTGCAAAGTCAACTTTATCAAGGCCTTTCATTTCAAGTGGAATGCACTTAGAGGTCATTGAAATTCCTCACGCCGCGAGACAGTCGTGATTTCCGGGATTTCCATGCCGCAAATAAGAATGACGTGTAACTTATGACGTTTCAGGCCAGCGCATAAGCGCCCTCGGCAACGATTCTCCTCCCTCCCAACCCCGCGACGCCCCATCTAATCATTAGTCATCATCTGTGTTCATCGTGTTATCGATGTTTACTTTTTGCAGGCAAAGACCCCCTACGATGTGCAGGCAAGATGGCTGCGTCGCGCGACGGGAACTCAGGGCAGTTCGAGCACTCTCTTCCCAATACCTACTCTAACCCATCCTATCGTCCGCCGCCTCCCTACCCCACCAAGCTCTCCCATCCATTTCCGTTTCCTGCGCATCTACCTGAGGCCTCTGCACGTGCACCTGTTCTGCTTTTATCAGCTTGATTGGTTTTGGATTTGGTTTGGTGCTAAGTGCCTCGTATTTACCTATTAACAGGAAGTTTCCAGAAGTTGTACCATTGTGCCACAAAAAGAAATTGATAAATTTGTGCGAATGTTTAGTTAAAGTTTTAGCTTGATGGTTCATCTTTACATGGAAATATTTTTGGTACAATTATAATTTCCACAATGAAAGTCTGGCAACACAGCTAACTTAGCAAAATCCCTCATATTTCTTAGGAATTAAGTCAGATGTGAGGGTAAGATTTATCCCCCCCCTCCTCCTCTCAACTAGTTCCCCCAATGCGCACAGAATGTACTAATAAGCAGCATAAAGCAGAGGGAAAGATACAGGTATAATTAATAGATAGGTATTCACAACATGGATGATTTCAAAATTTGACATCTGAAGCATGTTTGAGATAATATTAAGCACCGATAGTATTCTCCGGAGGAGGCTGCAGTGGGTGCTGCATGCATGTACACAGCCTGGCAAATACGTAAGTACAACTCTGCGTCTTTACCGACCAACTACACATCTTTTTTACCTAAAATTTAACTCTAAGTACTCTAAGTAACTTGTGTGTTTCTCCCACACGTAGATAGCCTCCTTTTATTTTTTAAATTTTTCCTGAGATCTACGCCTGATTCCAATAAGAAAGGAAGGATGCTATCTTAGTTTTTAGCTGCCATAGCTTTATCCTGAAAACATTTATACCTTGTGCGCATACAATCCTCAAACTCATCCCTTATCATCTGGCATCCTCTGCCTATTTAGCAATAAGTAAATCCTCTAATCAAACATACATGGCTCAGATATAAATTAAAGCCCCCCTCCCCCCCGTATTTTCCACAAAAATTCAAAATGTAAATAGGTACGTTTAAGATTAATTTCAATGCCTCAGAACGCTGGGGCCCCCACACAAGCTTGTGATTTCTCCATAAATTCTAAAGATTCTCCATCCTCAATCCTTAAATAAATTATATCATAATAATTATGTCAATAATTATATTATATCCTTAAATTATATCAGAAAAATATCTTGCCAAAGTATTTTGAGAATTACCCTGGTTGACTTGGGTTGGACTCGTTTAGAAATTTAATCTCAATCAAAAATGCCAATTCCCTGAGCTGAGCAGTTTAATTTTTCTCCGCGAGTGAAATTTGTGCTTGGCGCCATTAGGAGCAAAGAGTAGGGGAGAGGAGAGAGCAACAGAGCAGTATCATGGAGTCCGAGCGAGCTGCACGCACGCTCCACCAGCTACTCCCGCTCTGTGATCGCCTGCACATCGTAGGGGGTCTTTGCCTGCAAAAACGCTCAATCCGTGTTATCATCACCCTTCTTACCGCTTATCTGTTTACGTTAGAACAAGCATCTTCTCATTGCCTCTACAAAGTTCTCCCTCGCTGTGCTTTCGGTTTCAGTTCTGTTGCTTTTTCTTGACCACATAATATTCCAATTATTTGTACATTTAGCACTCCAAAGTCAGTCCCCATTTACCCACAGTAAATTTTTCGCGAGTAAAATTCACTGACAATGGCGCAATTTCCTTACCCTACTGAAACCATTAACAGACAGTTCCTGTGGGATGTATTCCAGAGGTAAGACATTTGTCTTCGTTTTCTTTGTCACAAGTATGTTCTCTTTGTGTCTTACCCATGCATTCTATCATACTCTTGTTCGCTGTGAATCTCTGTGTTTAAATCAGCTCCTGGTGACTCATTCAGGGAAATTTCCCAAAGATCTAACGCCCTCATAACTTAAAATACTCATGCTTACATTTATTATGAATTGATTGCCCTTCCCTGTAGTCACCGGGAGCTCTTGTCAAACATCTCCCTCTTTAGAGATTTTACATGAGAACGATCTGTGGTTTGATCACAGTGACGGAAATCTGTTGGTTTTGCACCAGCTGCTGTTTGGAGGAGCGTGCATTGGGCGAAAACGAAATGAATCCTGGTGTTTCCAAGTATCATAGTATTTTCTTAATTATACAAGCACCATTCAGTATATCAGAATGGTAAGGCACTGATGCACTGCTGGGGGTCAATCCAGCAACGGTAGGTTTTGTTACTGGTGTGCACTGAGAACCGGAACCACCAGGGCGCACCGTTACGCGCATGGAGCGGGGCGGAGTCAGGAGCTCAATGAGTGCAAGGATGAATCTCAGCAGTCCCAATTCTCATCTCTCACTAGTCTAATTTGGACCGGAAACTATCGAAAAGCGACCTTAGTGCTGCATTAGGACTATTGTAACTTTCATGAATTCCATGGTCTGTGCTGTGGACTTACTGCGCTCTCACAGCTCTTGTTTTTTACAAATGAGTTGAATTTTACCATTCAGCGGAATCATTTAGTTCATTTAAATTAGGCAAGTCGACATACAATGGGGCCTCAATTTTGCAACGTTTTTTGCTACTGCGCTCTATTTGGTAATAAAACAGTGTAGTGTTTGCACATTGCAACATTCATTCATGGAAAGTGCTGATTTTTTAAGGCTGTCCCACAGCCCTGCCAATTTTTGAGGTCAAATCTCAAGGCATAAAAGAAACTGGCATTTAGTGGTTGGTTGCCAATTGAAAGCGTAGCAAGCAATGAGTTGTGAAACAAATAAAAAAAAATTCCACTTCCTACTCACTCCATCCTGGAGCAGCCTGAAGTCGTGAAATACAGTTATGCCCAATATTTTTTTCTTACTACCTTTGTCAAAACCCAATACTTTAAAATCAATTTACTGTTTTGGTCTCTTTCTTGTCAGAGTTGACAAGGATCGTAGCGGTTACATCTCAGCTGACGAACTTCAAATGGCCCTCTCGAACGGCACTTGGACCCCTTTTAATCCAGAAACAGTCAGATTGATGATTGGTAAGTTTATCAATATTTCAAGATCATACAATAATAATTTTAGCTCATCATAAGTAATTAACTTTCAGCAGGATAACTTAGCTTTCTTGCATTTCTGCTTATCCATTTGAAAAATATCCTGTGAAAATTTCAAGCAATAATGTCGGTTTAGTCTCTTTAAAAAAAATACAATTCTTAGGAGCGGAGATTTTGGAAAACCGCAACGGAGATACACATTTTTGCAGTTCCACCGTCGAGGGTTTCTCTGAAAGATAATGAAGCTTTGAAATCAAAAGTTATGATCCTAAATCAGCTTTCTAGCAGTTTCTAGCAGCTAGTTTTCTAAACCAGGTGAATCTATCCTGATTACAGGCGAAGTTTATCCTCCCTCAGTTCCTTTTTTTTTTTTTTTTTTTTTTTTTCTTTTTTTTACCACTTCAAATAGCCCATAAGGGCTAATCCCTCGCTTTAAGTCCCATCCCCCCTCCGTCCCTACTGAACCAGCCCCAGATCCTCTTAAGATTCCTATCTTTTCTCTATTCCAATGACAGATTGATTAACCCAAGAATTATCCTCTGTTTCCAGGAATGTTTGATAAACAGAACCGAGGGTCGATCAATTTTGAAGACTTCGGTGCTTTGTGGAAGTATGTCAACGACTGGCAGGCATGTTTCAGATCATTTGATCGTGACAACTCAGGGAATATTGACTGCAATGAATTGAAAGCTGCTCTCACAACTTTCGGCTACCGACTTAGTGATACCCTTGTCCAAACCATGCTGCGAAAATTTGATAGGTTTGGCAAAGGCACCATTCTCTTCGATGACTTCATCCAGTGTTGTATCACTCTCCATGTAAGTTTTCTCTTATTAAATCTAATGCATTCTAAATTGTTCATTTAGAATATTTAAACAAAATTTCAAAAGAATCAAGCTTAGGAGAAAATCACTGATTGTAAGTGCTTTGCAAGGTTACGAAAACTGCGCAACTCTCTCTATTTTACAGAGAAGTCTAAAAGTCCATTTTTTCCCCTTTCTTTCAAACCAAAAAAGTGTTTATTAAAAAGAAATTGTTTCCTCAAATTGTATATTTTGTAAGTGCCCAATCTTATCTTTAGGCATCTTGATTATATTCTGTTTACTAAATTTATCTCAAATTATTGAAATAGTATGTCGATAGAAAAATAACAAAACTATGTATCTCTGATTTTGACAATTTCAAGTTAGATCTATGGATGAGCTCCAGGAGATGTCTTTTATCTGCCATCAAAATAATTTTGTCCAAAAAATTTTCAACTTGTTTTAAAACATAGTTTTTTCGAAACATATTTCGCCGCCAATTTGTAAAACATGTTTCTCATGTTGCCTCCTGTAGAAATCTATGGACTGTATGAAAAACAAACTATTGCTCAAAGAGTGATCAAACATAGCATATGTACTGTCAATCTTAGTGTTTTCAGAAGCGATGACCTTTTTTTTTTTTTTGACATTGGATGTTTTTATTTCATTACGTGAAAATATTGAAATGCAAGAAAGAAAAAAAAGAGAGAGGAAGGTCGAAATCTTCGCCATAATTTTACACCCCTCCCCCCCCCAATTTCTGCCATGTGCCTGTGCTCCATATGGCCTATGCCCAAATCTGCCTCTGGTTCTATTCTGAGAGCTTTTACTAAAATTTGATAGTATGGTCAATGATTTTTTACTATTAATTCAGTAATCATGAAGTTTTCTCTGCGTCCTATAAATTTTTACTTAGTGCTTGGTTTTTTCTTTTCCAGACTCTCACTTCAGCGTTCAGACAGTTCGATCAAGATCAAGATGGGATTATTACAATCCACTATGAACAGTTCCTCAGTATGGTTTTCAGTCTAAAAATATAAATTTTAATTTATAATGATTGTAAAATTCCTGAAATTTTTATCTTAGCTGAAACTTCACTATTTTTAAAGTGTACCGCCGAATAAGATTCTCAGAATTATCTGCTGCCTCACTGATACAAAAGTATCTGCTTACACTCTTATTTACTTTTGTATCTGTAACTTTATTTTACCGCAGCATGAAAATACCTCGCGATCAAACTGTTACTGTTTCTAGTGCCCTCTCTGCACCCGCAGTTTTCATTCCTTCTCGGCTATTTGTAAGAAGTTCTACTCTTTAAAGAAACCTTTTCATGATCAGTCTTCCTTTTTTTTTATTCTTTTAGCAATTTTTACTCTCCGTTTATTCTTGAAGATTTTGAACCTTCTGTCTCTTGTCTCTGTGTCCAAGAAATAGGAGGTAATTTTTCAGTGCTCTTTCCTCAGTAAAGTTCAGTGGTTACTGCCGTTTATGAAGTATTTCCATGTGTCTTATTTGAAATCCAAGCATCAATTTCTGTTCAAGCTCATTGTGCCACCTTGTTGTCTTGAAGAAAATACTATTTAAAAAAAATTAAAAAAAAAAAAAATAATAATAATTTGTGGATTTCAATTAACTTTTATGGATTTCAATTTTTACCTTTACTTAAATCAAGTTACTGTATTAATGGATAATATTCTTACTGTTGCATATACTTTAATTTACATGTATGTGTAATTATTACCATTTTCAATTTTTTTTAAGCACTTAAAAATGCCTCTGTCAGAAACGTGATTCTTAACGTTTATTAGTATACATTCGTTCATCAATATCGGTGGGAAAATTATTAACGTAATATTAATTTTTAATAGAAGAATGATGCCATAATTATTTAGTAGGAACAGAAATAGCTACCAGTATTATTAAGTATTGATAAGTATCTGGTTCTGTATGTTAAGTCTAAAGAAAAATTTCAAGAACCGGATAATGAGACTCCACTATTGTTTTTGCAATGATACGCTTTACTATGTCAGTTTCGAAATTCCAACTTCAATAGAGGGAATTTTTAATTTTATTAAATTCATCAGTCTAGGTAGAATTTCAGTTCGCACTGTTTTTTCACCAAAGAAAGCTCTGTTTGAAAACTGAATGTACTTAACATTACTTGATCACGCAAACTTCATCAGCTCATCTTGAGCTTTTCTAACTGTGATTTAGCATTCAACTGTTGATTTTTTACCTCAATTTTTATTTTTCTTTCAAAAATTTATGTGTAGATTTGTTCATGTTTACGTTTTTGACTGTTTTTAAGTTGTGTGAGCAAAATCCTAGATCATCTGTTTCAATTCTTGTTTTTTTCGGTTTTGATTTAGAATTAAATTCTTTGAATTTTCCTCTCAGGAACATATTAAGTGTAAGTTGTTAGTTTTGTTATTTCGCCTGGTTGGGTTTCGATGTACCTGTTGTATTGATTTTAAAATTTACTGCTTAACACACTCTAATGCAGTGCTTTTATTTTCGTATTTCTCATTGATGGTAATAATAATAAGAAAAAAAATGAAACAAATTCTACAAGAATAAATTATTATATCAATTCATAACGGTCTTCAACTTTTTTACTATCTGGTCATCCTTTTCTTTCCAGTAGTCCTTTAAGTTTTCTTTAAGTTGCATCTTAATTAAAAATTCCTGTTCTGTTGAATTCATGAACGAATTCCCAGCGTTGGTATGGAAATGACAAATTTATGTGATGGGCTTTCAACATTTTTGCGAATATTTTATCTCTCAGAAAGAAAGCTGCTTATTTGAGTGTATTAGCATTTTGGAACAAGCCGCAATAATAGCTCCCCGACAAGCACTCGTTTGAAAACCCCTTAGCTGTCTTAGCATTCATACTAAAATTTTTTGGTGAACAAAACGTAAAAATGAAAAATCTTCTTGATTGGTTCCAATTAATTATGCTAGGATGCAATTAAATATGCAAAACAATGTCAAAACAAGTTTTGAATTTGAGGTATAATTTTAGCAAACATAAGCAAGCCTAAAAATATTTGCTTCATACTGATTTTCCTTCTTATTTTTAGCAAGAAACCAACCCACAACTAAACATACAATCTGTCTATTCCTATAAGATTTCCTTCACAGAAGTTCAATTTAAAGTAAAGTGGAGGATAACACAAGCTTCAGGCTGATCTAGTAGTAAATTCATTGTCGGAATAATTGTGGCTTCCATTAAGAGTTTTCGACCATTGCCAGGAGATGATTTACACTAACAATGACTGTAGGACTGAGAAAAAAAAAGATAGCTTTGTTATAAAGGATTTATATTGAGCAATTAAAACTAGCAATGCGTCCATTGCAAGCAGCAAATATGAAAGAGAACAATTACAAAAAAAACAAAAGACATGAATATTGCACTTCTTACGAGTATTATTTACAAAATAATAGAATGGAATGTAAAAAATAATTAAATGAAAAAAATCATCTTGATCGAAAGAATTTGAGGAGTGCTGAAAAAATTGACAATTATTTAAAAAGTTCACATTTTTTGAGAATAATTTTTTAAGGGGAGAGTACAATTATTAAAAAAATTCCACTGTGTAATGAACAATTATTAAGCGTAAAAGAAAGTTGGATGTTACTTCTTTCAGTTGCGTTTTTAATTTAAGATTTTTAGCAGGGGGAAACAAAGTGTGATGAATTAATAAAAAAAGATTAAACAGGAAAAAGGAAGAGGAGAAACAGATCACACTTGAAAACATGGTGTTATAGATCATTATAAATCAAATGACAGGATAATAAAGAATAACTGATGATAGAAAATTCAAAAAAGTAAAAAAGGACTTTCAACATCGTCACAGAGTTAATTATGTTCTTATTACTGCTTCGATTCATCTATAAAATCAATAATTAATAGATGATAGATTAATCTATTAATTTCAATTGGCTTAATACGCTTGTTTGGTTTAGAACCCCCAACTTAATTGGTTCGCCAACAGAAAATTTAAATGGCTAACGTGGATTAGATTTGCATTACTATTAATGATGCATTTGAACTTCATGCAACTGTGAATTGTACTGCAATATTTACTATTACAAACATACTTACTATGAAACTAAAACTAAATTATTAAGGATGTCTTCAGACTTCAGGAAGAAGAATTTCCTGATTGTTTTGATCAATGTTCCAGTGTTAGATTTCTATTGTTAATTTTGGCTAGGGGAAAGTTAAAAACTGGCCTGGAAGTTTTGCATTATCCCTCAATACAGAACACATTCACAGCAATAAACCATTACAGAGGTAATTTTCATTGTTCAAATTTTTTTTAATCCAATGGTTATGTAAGAGAGTAAGAAAATGGAAAAAGAAAACCAGTCATATCCTGAAATGTTTTTATTTTTCGAGATGTTTTAGAATGGAACTCTATCCAATTTTCCAGGTTTTTATACCTTAATATTTCATAAAACTTTTGCTGTACATAATTCTATTTTATGAAACTTTTGCTATTATGCTATCATTTATCAAAATAGGTCTAAGATGCTCTTAGAAAATGATTTCATCTCGTTTCTAGGACATGCAAAAAGGCAATTTTGAAAAATTAGTAGGTCAGTGGCACCAGCTTTTTTTAATTCATTTTTTGACAATACAGCGCAAGCTAAGATCATAAAAGTTTTTCAGAATTTTTTTAAAATCTTAAATGGTAAGGAAACACCCGTTTTGAAAATGCCAAAAATAGGACCCGTTAGAGACGAAATTTTTTGCCGGCACTGATGACATGGCCAGGGGGGAGACACGGTGTTTGTTAATCGGCTGCAATCATATTTAGGCATCACCTTGCTATGTCAACTCAACTGCCGGATTATGTTTAGTTTTTCCTTCCCTTAAAAATGATTTTTTGAACTTTTTGGTTCTTTCAGGAAGTTTTACGAGAAAAAAACAATGCTACGATCCTGCAAAAATTCCTAGCCACTGACTCATTACTACATCTATGACTGTAAATTTTGAGTTTTTATGATGATAGGCTTTGTTTTGATACATATTGAACTCAAGGTTTGAAACATCTTGCTTGCTTCCAGAGTACAATTTGTAAACTTGTTTTATGTTTAGTTCTTTTTGATTCATGAAAAATTCTCTCATGGGTTTATACTATAGAGTAAGATTGTAAAAATAAAGAGAGTCAGGGATAACTGAGTCAGCACGAGAGTGGTCTGTAGATTTGACAGTAAGCTCAGACACTTGTTTGTCAAAGAACACAGCAAATACAGTTGCTGTAATAACTTTTGAAAGAGTCCAAATGATACACAAAGGAAAACAGAGATACCAAGGCCTCGGTTGAAGATTCACTACATATGCAGTTATTGGTAAAGTTAAATTTCTTCTGGCTACTATTGGGAAATTTGTAATTAACACTGAGAGAAACTAACACTTTCGAAATTTTTGTTTAAGATCCTAATATATCACAGTCCGATAAAATTTATGAGACAATGAGATTTTCTCCTTAGAAATTTCTGCTAACAAAGTTTTGGGTAGATTAAATCTGAATTAGAGCTACTAAAATGTACAAAAAAAAACTTAATACAAACTTAATATGAACAAAATAAACACAAGTTTAACGAAAGATCTCTAAGTAGAAGTTAACCAGGTAGCAAAGTGAAAAGATCATAGAAAATGGTTGATTCAACAGGTATCTACACCATAAACATTTGAGGGGAAAACCATAAATAAAATATAGGAGGTAAAATAATAATAAAAAAACAAAAATCAAAGAGATTCAACAGGAAATGGTAAACATAAAATCTGATCAACTTAATTTTAAATTGCTTTGTTCAGGGGCCATCGTTCAAGGCTCTTCTCCCCGTACAAACGGGAGCTCTCATGGAGGCTTGAATACTTTGATTTCTCAGCTTGTTTTGCACAACATTATTTATAAAACTCGAGATTTGATCTATGATGTACCTCAAATACTTCTGTTATCTATAAAGATTGTCGGGTTGACGATCATTGAAAGGCAGCAGTCAAAAGGAGCACCGATACGCTCCTTCGAGGCCTCCGGTTTGAAGGCAGAGAAGAGCTTTCACACATTATATCTACCCTATTTTGTGACAAACATAAAAATGAGCCTGTCTTACTAGACATGTTCTAAGGTACAATGGTAGTTGCTTATATTATAACTGATCGAGTCAATTGACTATTTTAAGCCTTCCGTACGATGTGGTGTTGCTACCATCTGTCACTATTTTTCCCCACAGGAGTAACTGATTAGGTTGCTAAAATGTTCAACATGATTGATGATGGCATCAGATGCCGCAAAGGGATCCTGCAAAAATATTTTAGTTGAGATAAAGTCCCTAGCATTCTCAAGATTTTAAATCCATGAACTTTTTTTGTCACGCTGATTTTGTCATAATCAATCAAAATCGTCAAATTTGCAAGATAAACTAACAAGTTGCAAATTGAAAATTTTCCTCTCGTGATTAAAATAAAAAAAAATAATAAATGCAAAATTAATTTCAAAAGGGGAATATGAGGATAGGCAGTTTTTTAGGAGTGAATGACCTACTTATTAAGGATAAGTAATGAAACTCATTCAGTTTCATTGTTAAACCCATGCTGGCTTCACTGCAAAAAATGCTTTGCAAGATAGGACCGTGGACACGGTCTGTAAATTTTTGATCGTTAATAATTAGAGGGAGATACTCTTTGCTAATTTTGCCCAACGCTGAGTTATTTATCTTTCTCTGGGGCAAAATTATGTTCAAGCCAATTTAAACTTTGACTCCCATTTGTTTGAAAAATTTTACCCTTTTCCAGCCCATTGACTGCAGATTTCTTGAAATAACATATGTAATTTCCAGAGTTAGAAAATTCATGTAAGTAGATAAACATGTATGAGTGATAAATTGAATAGAAAAATATGGATTGTCTTTTGGGATCAACTTAGTGGCTATGAAGACATTTGTATGTGAATAAAAAGTGGCTAGCTTTTTAATCATGAAAATATCCTGAATGAGGTACCTACCACATACAGATTCAGGATCTAGTAAAAGGGTACCTTACTTTAAAAAAAATATAAGTAAATTGGTAAAAGGCACAAAATTACAGACGCATACCATTTCATATTATGTATTCAAAACAATTCCTTAACTTTAATAATACTAAGGTATTTACAAATCCGCAAGGAATTAAAATTTCACTTCAACTTTAAATCCTTCTAACTTCAAATTCAACATTTGCTGCCACATTGCTTTCGTACTTATTTCTCACTGTGCCATGGGAGACAAAATCAAAATATGATTTAAAACACTGATAGAAACATTAATGGAATTTAAAACATTAGCTTTCAACCAGAGGGCTCAAGTAATGACACCCTAGAGGCATGCTAAGGAATTGGCAGTTTGCCAAAATTCAAAAGGATAGAAGGCTTTGTGCTGCTGTGCGAACAAACGAATTAGTTGAATAGACGCTTTTCATTTGTCATGTTTATTTGACCCCTATTGGACATAACAAAAATGGTCATTTTGACCAATGTAGCAGCAAAATGGTTGGTTCGTAAATCCAGTATTGCAGCAAAAGGATTCGAAGAAGTACATGTTCATTACGAGTTCATAACAAATTGAGAAAAAAAGCACCATTATAACTCATAATATCATTGACTGATGCTAGGCCTCATAAAATGGAAAACACACCTACAGTTTGTCTACTTGGGTATAATTTTGCCTGAAGACTTTGTTCATCTGACAACAATGTCAGTGTCAGCTGATAAAATGTATATTTTCTCATAAGAGGTTAATAAAAGTTTTCAGTCAGTCTTTGACATCTACCGAGAATTGTTTTGGTATTTATTTATAATTACTACGTAATTATATATTTTTCTTATTAAAAACTAAGAAAAACATGGTGACCCCGACGTGATCTTCATCTGCGCAATTTAGAAGACGTCAACGAAAATTAAAAAATGTTCACAAAAGTGGAATATACGGGCGAATTGAAAAATAATTATCATATTATGGTTGAGACATGCAGTGATCGCTCGATCTCCGTGTCAATACCAAGTATGTGCAGTGATGGATTGAGCTCCACATACCTAAGTTATTAAAAATCGTGCAGTAATCGACCGATTTCCACGATTCAATTTGGAAACATCAGACAGTAATTCGGCCTAACCATGAAAAAAGCGAAAAAAGCCAGCCTTTTGGCAACAAAACTTCATCTTAACTATCAGCTGTCAAGCCTTGAGAACTTCGTAGCCCTGACGAACTTAAAATTCGTTATGAGGAAGCCAAGCAGATCTTTATACCCAATTTTCCCAAGCAAATTTTGAACTTCTAATGATCGAACCAGATGTAAATCCAAATGAGTTGAGTGAATTTGAAACAAGATTCTACAAAACAATGATAAAACTCTAAGGACACTAATGGAAGAAAAGAGAGAAGAAACTGACAAAAATACAAAAATGATGCTTCTAACAACAATCAAAAAACCAAATTAAAAAACTCTAGAGGCTTTTCTGGGGGATATGAAGAGTATGGCAGAGCTTCAAGCCATTTTTCAACAATTGCGAAATCCTATCATCTCAAACGTGTATTAAGAGGGCAAGCCGGACTTCATCGAACACCTAAAGCCCACCGACGAGAATTATGACATATTATGAACTCGTTCAAAAACTCCTGAAAATGGATGATATTATAACCTGTTATCCTGTCCACCTTTCCGAAAATGGTATGAAAAACTACGATTAAAATTATTTCAGTTTTATATGTTTTATAGTCAAATCATCGTACGATTTAAGTGTTGTTGAACTATGTTCAACAGGCATGTTGTAGGTTGGCATTGTTGCCAAGTAAGTTGCAATATTTGCTACGAAATCACATCTAAGCCTATCTAAGCGGAAGAGCATTTAGGCAATAAAGACCTAACGAAGCAGGTATGTAGGCAACAACGTCGAAAGACAGTCGTCTCAAAAAGAAAGCTTGACTCCAATTTACAACCTGCGTGAGAAAAAGAAAAAAGTATACATTTGAGTAAGAAGAAATAACCTAAATGCGAAAAAAGAGTATAAATCTGAATGAGAAGAAAAAGTATGACCTAAGTGAGCAGAAGATGTTAATGAGGTTATGATCAGAGACTGATTGTATGAGTTTTAAAATCGAGCATAATGGAGAAATGAAGAAAGTTTAACATATATGGATTTAACTAATTCTAATTTATCATCGTTGCGGATTAATTATTATAAACTATTTTAACACATGGAAAAACACGGGACACATGGACACGTGGAAAATAATGCAAAATTTATAATTCCTCAGTAAATTATTATGGCATACCTAAAAAAAAAATCGATTTAATAGCGCTCTAATTGGAAATCGAATTTCCAAAAATTTGTGATTTTCTTTTTGGTGCGGAAGGAAATCACCCAAAATGTATGTTGTATTTATACTTTCAATAATCCTCTTGAATATATAGAGATGAAAGATTTAAGAAAATTCATTGTGAGAAAAATTAAAGACATTTACTTAAAGAGGTATTTAACCCTTAAATTTAGATTAAATTTGAAAGACTAATAAATACTGCTGAAATAAGGAAATGAAAGAAAAGTATTAACAAACGAGTCTAAGTTCAGTGGTTTACATAATAAGAGTGAAGATCATTATTGATCGAATGTGCCACTGAGTAAAGTTCAAGAAGTATTAAAATTCCCGTATTGGCGATTAAAGCTATTCTTATTTCTAGCTGGAAATAAGTGGCATCTCTGGATTAGAAAGAACCTAAGTAAGATTTTACACTAGGTGTAGAAGCAAAACGGACTAAATTATCTGATATTATCAGACATATCATTATGATCTCAAGTTAATATCAATGTGCAAAATAGATAGTTCGTTTTTCTGTTTCTGTTGTCATCTTGTTTCAGGCAACATACTATCAACAAAGAGCAAAAATACTGCAGGAACTAAACCGAGCCTATCCATATCCTCTGCTGTCCTGTCCGTCCTATGTTCTCCGGTCCATCTTGTGTTGTCCTATATACATTCTACATCCTATGCATGAAATCTTGTATGAAACCCTGACTGAATGCTCATCGCCTATCGATGATGAAAAGAAACGCAAGAAGAAAATAATGAACAAAAACAGGAGAAGGCATTCAAGTTTAACTTTCTATTATCCTATTCTTTAAATTCCTATATCTTTAAACCGTCTAGAGTAACGAGCAGAGCAGAGAGTACTTTAACATTCACATACACACTGCACTCACAACACTGCAACAATTTTGTTTGGCCGGGAATGATTATTCAAGATGAATAAAAAATCATCAACTGTGACCTCTTAGGTACCCAAATCAAATGATTAGATTATAATTTAATTGAATGCTGTACCCTTTTGAACGACCCTTCCTGTACTCCAGAGCATAAAAATTTGAAGTGTATGTGAAAATCAATCATCAACAGAGCTTATCGGAAAAGAACAGATTAACATCGGAAAACTTCAGAGAAGGCGACAATAATCATTCTGTCAATGATTATCCCAATATAACAAATCATAATTCAACCGATAAAAATCCATGAAAAGATATCCATAAAAATCTAATTCCATGCAGTGATCGATTTGATCTCCGTGGGCTAAAAATTCCATGCAGTGATCGATTTGATCTCCGTGGTCTAAAAATTCCATGCAGTGATCTATTTGATCTCCGTGGTCTAAAAATTCCATACAGTGATCTATTTGATCTCCATGGGCTAATAATTCCATGCAGAGATCGTTTGAATCTCTGTGGGACTAAATCAGTTCTGAAACAATGGACTGTTCAACTGCAGGGGACGCCCGTAAGACAGTGACATTTCAACTGCAGGGGACGCCCGTAAGACAGTGACATTTCAACTGCAGGGGACGCCCCTAAGACAGTGACATTGTATGCATAAAGCAGCAATTGCATAATTAACATATAAAATGGATATCCACGAATCTATCAATAAATTTTAATTAGTCATTTATAAATTTTAATAATTTTCGCTCCCTCGGGAGAATGTTCATCTGACAACAATGTCAGTGTCAGCTGATAAAATGTATATTTTCTCATAAGAGGTTAATAAAAGTTTTCAGTCAGTCTTTGACATCTACCGAGAATTGTTTTGGTATTTATTTATAATTACTACGTAATTATATATTTTTCTTATTAAAAACTAAGAAAAACAACTTTAATAACCTTCAGGCAAACAGTCATAGGGTAACCTCACTTTTTGCTCTGCAAACTCAGTTTGAGCCAGAACTAGTTCGTCAAACTGACTATACTCAATTTTCTGAGAGCATAATCACCCAAGTAGACGAAGCACTGGACAATGAGACTGGTTTATTATTATGTTGCCGCACTAATTTTAAAACAGGAGAACAAAATTCACTATTATATAATCTCTAAAAATATACAAAATTTACAACTTTAAACTGAAAAACTTGAACATAAGTTCAAATAAGCACATATTTTGGGATTTTTGACTCAAAAGTAATGTATATAGTCAAAGATATTCAAAAATACTGATCAGAATCTTTCATTCAACACAGATTCTCACTTTAGACATAATTCCAGTCACAAAAAAAGTTATCAGGGAACCGTTTAAGATACAGGGAGAAAAAAACCACCCAAAGTGTCCTCTTTAGACTTTAGAGGGGGGAAAGAAGGCTAAACATTTGAACTTGCAAAAACTGTTAATAAAAAAAATCATTTGTAGCGTAAAATTTCTATCCTGGAGTAAGCCAGGTTCATTGTCTGGAAGCACCTAAATACAAAATTTTACCATAAAGACGCAGAACAATTAGAGAGAGAAAAGAAAAAAAATTAAATCTGACAGGAAATTCATTGTATCAGCTTAACCAGGCTGCCATAAACACGATGAAAATGGGTTCCATACCATCACACTTGATATGAGTCTAGGAGTTTTTAAATTATCTCCAAAAATTGATTCTAAGATTCTTGGCATAAGGGTGAGAAAAACTGTTACGATTATTTTACATGAAAACACCAAATTTTCGCACAGTGGAAGGAATTAGCCATCCTCAGATCTAAATAAAGCTGAGTAAACAGATTGCCACTAATAAAAACTATCATGTGAGAAAATGGATCACTCAGCAGAGTGCACATTTGTTAAAATTAATCTTTAATAAGGAAAACAAGGGATTTCTCCGACAAAAGTTCACTGGTTATTTGTCAAAAATGACGTAAAAGCTCTAATTATGTACATCAACGATAAAAAACTGATGCTATATTTAAAGGGGGAAACAAATTTTTTATGAGGATTCAAAATGATAAGGGAATATTGTGTTTATTGAATGATTAACTCAAGTTTCTGACTAATCCTTGAATATCTACCTTCATCAATCAACAGCTGAACTAGATTCTTGTAGATATATGTAATAGAATACGACAAAGACTACACTAATAAAATGCATACCTCAATATTTTTTTTTTTTATTCTGGTTACTGTAAACAATATTTTTATACTGGTTTTATTATTTTTCAAAGAGAAACATATCAAGGATGTTGCTAAAAATTTTCTAAGGAAATGCTTCGTTCTGAAGAAGAAATCACAGAAATTTTTGAAAGAGGATGTTGATTGTTTTTTATTTGAAAATAAAGTACGATGGAATTATTGCCAACTGCGGTATGCATTTTTGGAGCCCGGCCATTGACTACTGTCTTCATTTTCATTATCAACCAAGACAGGAATGATTCCAAAAGGAGCCGAACATATCATTTACAATATGGGCATTTAAAATTACATAAGCTTTACTTCAGGTAACGTGGCGAAATTAGATAAAATCGCTTGCTAGCCCTGGTTATTATTATCAACATCTGGAAGTTCCTGTATTGTGGAATTCAGGTACTTACTAAAACTATCCATCATACTGTTGGTTGAATCCGTCATTCGATTCGGAATGTAGTCTGATAAATTGATATTTGAGATACTCTCGGGTAACGAAGAGATACTATTTTCTACGCCCTGGGTCGGCGTGTCAAGGTTCACATAGTTTGTATTTTGTGATTCGATGTTATAAACGTTCTGGCCAGTGACCCTGGAAAGTGGCGTATAGTCAGGGAAGGAAGGGTTCATTCCTCTGAGGTTGTTAAGAGCCGCGCTGGCACTGAAGTCATTCTGAGGCTCTGGATTTGTGTACATCTGGCCGCCTGCATAGTGAAGTGTAGCAGAGACATGAGAGGCGTTGATCGTTTCATTAATGACTGCACTGGGTTGATCGTTCATGACGCCATCCATCATATGTGAGCCAGGGGCCATCCCTATCCAAAGAAAACAATTTTATCAAGAGGGAAGATGATAAAAAAAAAGACTTGTTCTTCATATTTTGTCTGGGAGAGAAAAATGCCTAAATGCCTGGAAATACCTTAATATAATGTCAAGTCTCTATTTTTTTCTAGATTTTTGGCGTGAAATACTCTGACGAATACTTCTTTGGAAGAGATTTCTTTTTTTCGGGAGCATTTTTTTCCCTTTTTCTTTTCAAAAATAATCCAAACTTGTACCCCATTTTTTGGAATTTTCAGACTAACTAAAATTCCCGATGATCCCAGGTTTTCAGAATTTAACCGAAGTTTGAAGACACATTATCGTATTGTCATACAGGCTAACATTCTATTTTATGACAAAAATCATGATAAAAAACTCACCAAAGTTTTGAGATCCTGGAGAGTGATGATAATCCATTCCTGGGGATGGGGTACGGGATGTGCTGGGAGCATAGATGGACGGAGACCGGGACGCGCTTGCAGCGTACAGTGATGGAGATTGAACGTTGGGATAACCGGGATTGTAGACAGGGCTGAACTCTGTGACAGATAATGATGCTGCAATTAGTTAGTTGCAAAATCGCACAGATTTCTCTTTGGAAGCTGAAATTAAGATGATTCAATGGACTCCATATTTTGTGTCAAGACGGCATGCAATATATCGCATCGATTGGTTCCATTTTTTCAGCTACTTGTCATTTTTCTCGAATTTTGAGATCACAATTCTGTTGTCGGGATACTGAGGAGTTTTACTTACGAATTTTACACTTACTAATTTTGACTACCAAATTCAACATAATAGAGGCGTAGTTTTTTTCGAGGAAAAATATCTCATTCGAGTTCAGTTTCGATATCAGTATCAAATGCGATATTTTTCCTCTAAATAAACCACGCTTTTATTACATTGAATTTGTTTGTCAAAATTATTATGTCAATTTTTTAGTCTCCTGACAACAGAATTGCAATCTCAAAATTCGAGAGAAATGAAGAGGCTGAAAAAATGGAACCAATCGATGCGATATATCGCATGTTGCTATGACACAAAATATAGCGTCCATCAAATCACCATGACGTAGAGTTTTGCAGGGTCAGTGGCGTGCGGTCCGGATAAGCAAGGCAAGCACTGCTTGCCCAAAGATTTCAAACGAAAGAAGAAAATTACACCTATTTCATGTTGAACATTTTAGCAAATATAATTTATAAAAGGTGTTCAGTAAGTAAATTGCATTAAAAACAGAAAAAGAGAGAGACAGAAATACGTGTAGAGCCACAGCAGTGGGAAAGCGGTAGGGCGGATGGAGGTGGCGCAGCGCGCTGCGCGGCCCGAACACGGGCCAACCCATGCGCTGGAGAATCGCTTGCGATCAGCTGAGCGGAGCGCCACTGCTCAGCGGCGGAATCAAGGCAGGCGGGGAGTGCGGTACGTTCCGAGTCCGAGCCCTTCGCTGCGCGATCGCAGCTCGCTTCTCTTGGCCATCTCTTGGCCCGTCACCGCAGCGCGCTGCTTCTGCCTCCGATGCGCTATCTTGTTCCCACTAGAGTACCTGTAGTTCCCTCTTTCCGTCGCGGTTGTAATTGCTCCTCCGGAGCAAATGCCCTTAAATTCTAGAAAATTTCGCTCACTTGGATCTAATTGCTGATGAATTAGACAATTCTGAATCATGTTTTAAATGCAGAAAGCTAATTTTTGGGGAAATTTAAGTAACTCAAAAAATTCTTAAAGCAAAATTAGGAATTAAGAGCATGAAGCCGTCCTCCAATGATCAATAACATTCGAAACAAGTTGAGTAAACGAAATCATAAGTAAGAGAGAAAGAAATAAAGCCACAGTTTTTCAAGACGTTCCATCAGATTTCATCCGA